CACCCCGTCCAGCTTCAACCGATATGCTTTCCTCGGTGTCATCTTCGGAGGTGCCCACAGGGGAGAATTCAGGGAAAGCGCGCTCCAATGCAGAGGTATCGATTGCGTAGTCGGGCTCCTCGTCTTCAAAGTTGTTGATTTGTTTCCTGGCACTGCCTTTCATCTCGGGCAATTTGGGACTGTTTTCAAAGTGTTTCGTAGACGCGAGGGCTTCATGCTCTGGGTCAAAATCGGAGCCAAACGACGCGAAGCTGTTTGTCGTAACTTCGGAGCGTCTGGTATTCTCGCGCGACATAGTCAAAAGGTATGACGCGTCTTGTTCCAAGGCAAAAGTAGCGGTACAAGTGAGTTGAAGCTCAATTAACCTCAGACATGAATGCTTGCGCTTAAACTAGGATTGACGTTATAACTGCCAGGAGATGACGGGTAATCGCTGGGTATGTTTTGGTAAAGCGCGTCGGCGGCCACGAGCGTCCACGCGAAAAATAATGGCAACCAGGATACGGGTATCTCAACTGAGTTTATAGAAGAGTAATGCAATTAATTAGAGTCGTATTATTCGCATCGATCGTAAAATGGATGCGATGGAAGATCTGAAGTCAGTTCTGACACTCCGCGGGACGGGGAAAAGAGGAGGCTGGGAGAGTTGTTGATTTGTTTACTCGGCCAGGTGGAGCTGCCGTCAGAGTGACCGCCCAAGTATAATGTACCTTACGGCATGGCATACCTCTCATACGCACAACAACCAAAAAGCGTGCTGTAAGTATTTGCACTTCGCTATTCTCCCCATACTTTTGGATACGGATGGATTGAAGGCAAGTAGCAATTTATGTAATTGATTATTTTCAATTCGTCTCCTCCAGCCGCGCGTGATGTACTCCTCGAGCAGCAGCAATATCATCTCAATGTACAGGTTGAGATAAGGAACCAGGAGAGAAATACAGAAGAACAGATGAGAACAGATAAACAGAAACCTCCCGATGTAGCTCCAGACGCCATGCTATTTAGATCTCTCAGACCGTTATGAGAAGAAAAATTAATCGTCGTTAGTCATGCACATAAAACCGCCGTCCGATGCAGGAGATAAAACGCATTCGAAATGCAATCAGCGCTAAACACCTCCGAGCTGTAGGTAAGGGGTTAATTGGAGAGATAGCGAAACCTCTGTGGGCCGCAAAGCTCTAGCGAGTTTCCGGAGAATCACGCGAATCGTGCTGCTCTCTGGACGCACGAGGAGCAGTCGACGGGAAATTGTCGCTGACAGGGCTTGCTGCATCAATATGAATGGTAGGAACAACTGTCAGCTCCCGAAGAGGGGCGTTATGTTCGTTCCTTTCGGTGACAGGACTTTGATATGGAGGGGCATCACCCCAGTCCAGATGATCGTATTGAGGAGGAGGAATGCTGAGAGCGCCAACATCGGCCTCCTCACCGCCTGGGGTGGATGGAAGGGTAGAGGCGGTAGAATGTGCTTGGGAGTGCACCCTGGTCAAGGCAACCGGTTCGACGGGACCAGTCGAGGCGGATGAGTAGGATTCTCCTCGAGAGTGAATGCTCGGGGTATCGACCAGGGAAGACCTATTAGAAGCATCAAAACTGCCGGAAGGGCCATTCGACAGTAGGGGGCGACGATCCGAATCGGGTGAAGTTGCTCGGACTCGCGATCCATCGTGACGGACGTAGCCCACGGCCGCGTAGCTCACACTGGCAATCCGCCTGCCGCGACCATGAGTCTGATGCTCTGCTAAAGCCGTAGCGAGGTTGGTGGCACTATTGCTGCCATTGGTGGATGACCGACTTCTTGCACGTTGACGAGCACGGAGTCGATCCTGTTCCCGTAAGATCTCTAGCTGAGCACGGTCTCCACGCTCGCGAGCCTCACGCCGCGCCTGTCGCCTAGCCTCGCGTTCTGCCAATTCCTCGCGCCGGCGCTGACGGATTTCGTACAGCGATGCCATGAGCTCCTCCCGGCGAGCCTCTTCTTCTTCAGCGGTCTCGGGAAACTCAATCACGGTATCCATGCCATCTCGTTCACCTTCACGTGCGATAACCTGTTCCTCAGGCTTGGGATTTGCAGAATAGGCGGGAAGAGTGGCCACGGACCGAATGGAAGCATCACGACGGATGGAATTGGTCGTTCTCGCGGTTGTCATCTCCGTGGCTTCAGCGCCCGTAGCCGTTCCGTTCCGGACGCCATTTGACACTTGGTTATAGAACTTTCCAGGGTCCCAACGGTTCCATTTGTCTTTCAAGTATTTTCCTGGGAGATATTTAGGGGAGCAGCCCATCCGACGCAAATATTTCAGGCCGAAGTAGGAGGCGCCGAGCAGGAGGAACGTGACAACAATAGCCAGAGCGACCTAGAAGTCCGACCAATTAGCTGAGAACAAGTATTAAAGCAACATGAATACAAGGACGAACACTCACAATGACAAAGATGATGTTTTTATCACTCCCTTGGGAATTAGTGTCAGAGGTGGTGGTGGTGTTGCCGCCATTCTGACGGGCAATCAGCCCACGAACCTGGGGTGAGATGTACATCACAGCCACCCGATCTGCCAGGTATTAGGGATATAGAGTCTCTTTCTAAGTTCCTTTCAGAACGAATCTTATGTCTTTGTTGTTAGCGAAAGAGATCCCAAGAGGAGCTGAAGGCAGAGCGAAGAACACTTCGCGGAAGTGACAGCAGAGGCAGTGCTCAAGACAGTGAAGGCAAGCCTCGGCGCAGATAAGAGGTTATATATAGAATAGAAGCCAATAAATAGCATCAGATCATCACAGAACAATAGTATAGATTAAGAGGATAGTGTTAACAACCACTAAATCCATGATTGAGGACATGGACAGTGCAAATAAGCATGGAAGAGAAGGAGGTGAGAGGAGAGAAATGAGAAAGAACAAAAAGAACTGAATTATGGTAGGATCTGTGATGGTTTGGCTGGAATAATATGGGGTAGATAGTAGTGTATGCCTGAGAGCAGAGCAAGCTAATCAGAGGCTGTCATTAACGGGCTGAAAAGGAAGATCCCTTTAGTATTACTACTGCCCAGGGTGGCTGGTGAAGTTGAAGGCGGAAGGCCTACAAATTGGCACCCTTAGAGAGGTAGGCCTCAAAATTTTCCTGTTTGAGAGACGTACCTATTGCTTACGCGCTCCAGTGCCCATCCAGCTCCATAATTTTGACATCGAGCAGGGACTGTGATTGTCAATCATGGTAGTCTAAGAACTATACCATGGTCGTCGCAATCTGCAAAAATACCCGCCACAGTCCACTCCTTGCCAAGCTCGTGTGGTTTCACAATGACTGGCGACTACCTTATCATTTCTTGACAGCCAACGCAGCCAAAGATCCATTTTTAGAATTGTACCGAACTGTCTGAGACTCTGAAGGATCCATCCATGATTTGTCCCGGGCTTACTTCCATGGTTCTTCTAGTGGTCTCGGAAGAACCGGAAAGTTCATACCAGAAATTCAAGTGTCCTGGTTCAAGACTAGATAGATCAAGACAATTTTCACCCCGTATTGAGCGCAAGGCAAAGCACTAATCGTAGATAGTGTGTATGTGTTGACAAGATCCATCCAAAGCTCTCTCCTACTCTATTCAACTGCAGCGGAAATGAGCAATTTGTATGTTTCAGTAGCATTCCATCATGAAGCAATCATTATCTTATCAGTGGGAAAATAATCATCTTCGTGCAGAGATGTAGGAACATGTATCCTAGAGAGGAACAATCCGAGAGAATACAGCAGCAAATATGACAGTCCACCCTGCCAGCCTTGCAGCCTGAAAATTAAGGTTTCACTACAGTACCCCAGTCGTGGATGAGGACACCATCAGTGTCACATGCAATTAGATCAATTATCCTAGCAAACACGGAAGCACATAATCCCAGCCTGCTTGCAGATTCCATCATGCTTCCTTGACTTCCATACTCTATCAGATAAAAAGCAGTTAATAGTAACCTATTCATCCGCAGAATACACCCATGTCCTGCCCCGATTGCTTTAGCGGCCATGTACACTCCGGCGAACCACAGGGCGAGGTGACCAAACTGCACGGACTCGACGTCTACGTCGCATCGCCGGCGCCAGAGCCAACGGGTAACTCAGCAATCAGGGGGATTATCATCATCATTCCGGATGCGTTCGGCTGGGAGTTTGTCAATAACCGGATACTGGCGGATCATTATGCCCAGAAGGGCAGGTACAGAGTTTATCTACCGGATTTCATGAATGGTGAGAATCAAGCATTCAGGATGTAGTTTGGTGCTGGTAGAGACGAGCAACAGAATTTGACTTTATGCTCACTTGAATAGGACGCGCGTGCCCTGTGTGGGCTATAAACCTTATGGGGAATCTGTTCAAGACCAATACCCTGTACGACTGGCTTGCCAAACCGTAAGTTTCTTTCCTGGCAAACGTATGTCCGAGAATGTTGAGGCAGTCAAATAGCTATTATATCGCTGGCGCGTTGTACACCCTGCTCCCATTCATGTACTTCAACCGATTCGGCAAATCCTGGCCCATCGTCAAGTCATTCTTCGCCGCTGTCCGCCAGAACGAAGGAGCTCAGCTCCCCATCGGAGCAGCCGGTTTCTGCTGGGGAGGCAAGCACACTGTCAATCTGGCTCACGGAGCTGAAGTAGACGGCAAACCATTGATCAATGCTGGATTCACGGGACATCCTAGCCTCTTGAGCATCCCCAGGGAGATTGAGAAGATAAAGATCCCGGTTAGCTTTGCCCTGGCGGAATTGGATGTGATTGTGAAAAAGCCGCAGATTGAGCAGATTAAGAACATTATGGAGAGTGAGGATAAGGTTGGTGAGGTGAAGGTTTACTATGGGGCAGGTCATGGGTTCTGCGTGCGAGCAGACCATCTTGTGAAAGATGCAGAGCAGAAGGCTACTGAGGCAGAAGATCAGGCTCTGGATTGGTTTAATCGCCACTTCGCTAATGTGCAATAAGGCCCATTATGTTTCAGTGGGCGAGCTGTTGGACTATGTGTTTACGTCCTCGCTGTCCTCTATCAAAGCTTTCAATTTTCCACCGCGCCGCCTTGCAAGAACATCGTAAGGGCCTTGTTCCACAATAGACCCCTGTTGAAGAACGACGATATTGTCCGCAATCTCCATCATTTCTCTGGAATGTGTAATGATTATCACGGTAAGGCCTGATCGAGCCGATACCAGCCTCTGCACTGTCTGCCGAATCACCTTTGCACTCTCCGGATCAAGGTTCGAAGTTGCCTCGTCCAGGATTAGCATCTGCGGCCGGCGTACCACAGCTCGTGCAATCACCAATCGCTGCGCCTGGCCGCCGGACAGGCCCACGCCACCGTCCCCAATGGCAGTCGAATAGCCGCTGGGAAGTGACACGATGAAGTCATCGATGCCCGCAGCTTGAGCTGCAGCACGAACACTGTGAAATTCACGGAGGGGGGACTCATCCCTCAAGCCGTAACAGATATTGTGATGTATGGTGCCTGGGAATATCGTAGGTTGCTGTGACACAATCGATATCAGGGAACGAAGGGACGGCGTGTGGAGGCGTCGGATATCCAGACCCCCGATTGAGATGGTCGGCGTCTCGTATCTGGACAGCGGTGTTTCGTATAGAGAGAGGATCAAGGATGCTACGGTCGACTTTCCTGATCCAGAGCCACCGACAATCGCAGTGCAAGAATTCTCAGCTATAGAGAGAGTCACGTTTCGGAGAGCAGGAGCGTCGGGCCGTGATGGATATCGAAAGGTCAGACTTCGTATTTTCACTGGTGCTGCCTTTAGAGGGCGTTTGTCACCCTTATGTTCATGGGATTGCCCAACAGGTAGGCTAGCCAGTCGGAGCAGCTGAGTAGCCATGTCTTGAGAAGCACTGATTTGCGGAACTTAAAAGAAATCAGCAATCGTACAGGCAAGATTGTCTAAGCATGTGCAAGGAATGGACAAGACTTACTCCATGAAAGTACCGTGCTCGCATATCCGATGCTAAATAACAGCATTGAAAATACGGTCATCACATTTTCAACCGTATATCCAGACGATGCGAGAAGCGCTCCATAGTAAAAGATCAAACCTGCGATACTCTCTTAGAACAGCCAACGGAACGAGGGAGGCGCCTACTCACCACTCACGAAGATTATTGTAGACTCTACAAGGCCGAACAAAATCCCGGTGTAAGCCGCCCTCTTGAGGCTCATTGTCATGCATTTTGACGCCGCCTTCAAGTATTTCCTGTGAAAGAACGGCTCGAGCGTTAGGGTCCGCACAGTACGTATTTCTGAGAACGTCTCAACCAATACGTCGGATGCATTCCTGGTAACTTCATTGCACCGCCCCTGCCATAGTCCGCTGGTTCCCTCAAATCCCCTGGTAATGGCATAAATGATGGGACCGCAAGACAGCGCCACCAGGGTGAGCTTCCAGCAGACCACTAGACACCAAATGACTGCGGTCACGGTAATTACCACAGCTACCAGGACGTAGCCGCCGAAACGGCCTACTAGGTTCCGCATATCTTCCCCGTTTTGATCAAGACAAGCAGTAATCCGGGAGGGCGAGTTGCCTTCTTCATTGAACCACTGCCGAGGCTGGTCTAACACTCGTCTGAATGCCTCCTTGCGAAGCTGATCAACCCAGGCCTGACCTGATGCTTCCAAAAGATAATGCATGAAGTAAGAGGCAGTCCCGTCAATTAAGGCGACACCTAGAACAGCCAGCGCCCATCTCAAGGAGCTGACTCTCATGCCGTAGAATGACTGGAAGAGCTGAGAGAGGCAGTAAGAGAAAACAGGCGTTGCAGTAGCATCCACCAGTGCAGATATGATTCCGAGCAGGAGCAGCAACCGCTGTCTCAGGGTGAGGATGGGCACTAATGTCCGCATGATCTGGTATATGGAGAGACGATGCTGCCCCGAAAGTGGAGTGTTCCCTCTTGCGGCTTGAGGCTGCTTGATAGATTGCGGATAGTTTGTTGCTTCTGCTTGAGGAACAGGGAGAGTCAGAGAAGCGCGATGTAATCGGAGTCGATTGACAGAGACGAATGATGTGCGTGACTGCGGCATACTTAGTTCACGCATCGGTATAGCAACTCCAACAGGTATTGAGATCTCCTCTGCTTGGGGCGTGACCTGTGCCTTGACCATGTTACTCAGTCCTGTGGAAACCTGCATTTCTTCGATTCTGTGATCGAACAGTTGAGCGTTCTTAAATTGCGAAGGAGTTCTCCTTGACAAAACTGATGTTTCTTTGTATTTCGGGAAGCCAAAGTTACTTGCCCAAATAGTATTTGGAACATCGACTATCTCCTGCGTCTCGTCATTGATGTAGGAGGCTTCCGGCTTCGCAGGACTCTTCGAGGAGGTTTGCCCCTCGCTGAAAGGAAAGTATTTCCCCTTTGCTGGTCTATTTTCCAGCTCATGCCTGTATCCTGATTGCACAACAGAGCCATGCTCGAGGACGTAAACGTAATCGTGGTCCATGATGTGTGACATGTCGTGTGTGATAACGATCGTCGTCTTCCCTCTTCGCCATTCCCGTATCACTTTCATCACTGCTATGCGGTTTATTCCGTCCAGCGCGCTCGTGGGTTCGTCCATGATGACAATGGGAGTGTCCCTTAGTCTAGCTCGTGCAATCAACACTCTCTGTCTCTGGCCTCCACTCAAGAAGCTTCCCCCGGGCCCAACGCATGTGTCGAGACCATTTGGCAAGCTATCAATAGTGTCCCTGAGCATTGCCAAATCAATGCATTCGCGCACGTCATCCTTCGTCACTGTCTCGTGTGCTCGACGGCCGAAGGCAATGTTAGTCAAAACGGACTCGTTGAAAAGCACACTCCGTTGCTCGACAAGTGTGACGTTGTTCCTAATCCAATTGACGCTAAGAGTCTGAATTTTGTTGCCATCAATTAGTATTTCCCCTGAGGTAGGCATATACAACCGTGCAATTAATTGCCCGAGTGTACTCTTTCCCGATCCGCTTTCTCCAATCACGAAAGTCATCTCACCGGCAGGAAAGAAGAGGCTGACTGAATTTAATATGGGCCTTTCTGGCTGGGACGAGTACGTGAAAGAAAGCTAAATAAAGGATGGGAAAGTTAGAAATTGGGCAGTACTCGTCAACTGGTAAAACTTACATCACACAATTCGATGTCGCCGTCACAATATCGGGGGTATGAAGCTCGTTTCAGCTCCTTAGGGTGCTTCTTCACTCTTCGGTCGTTCAGAAGATCCTTTAACATTACCGCTGCAACCTTGCCTTTCTCCATCACTATTACTTGCGGCAAGACTAGCTCGATCGACTGAGCTGCGGTCAAGCAGGCCCAGAATGTTCTCAGGACTTCTCCAGCAGTGAGTTTCCCAGATGTCGTTAGAGCAGTACCATACCAAAACCCTTGAATAAACATACCGAACATCATGAATCGTATGACTGCTATCTGTAGGGAGTTTAAGTGTGCTTGTTTGAGGTATTGAGCTGCAGCACTATCTATTTTGAGGGCAAAATCGCGAAGCTCGAATGCCTGTCCGTTGAGACATTTGACCGTGTCAATCAGACTCGTAGCGTTATTGGCGACTTTTGAGGCAAGGGTAAGTTCAACCTGCTGGGCTTCGATTCTTGGCTTGATTCGAGAAGAAAGAAGAACAACGATGCATGAGAAAACCGGGATCCCTGCTAGAGTAATGAATGCAAGCCTCCACGAGGTATAGAATGCCAATCCGAGCGCAATGATAGTTCTGAATGCGTATTGCATGATAAGCCCTAACGGCTGCGAGGTTGCTATCTGCAATTCAGAAATTTGGCTATGATGGAGGTAAGATAAACGGAGCTTAACACAATAGACATCAGAGAGAAATGACCTACGCTTGAAGATAAGACAAGAAAGCTTTTGTGCCATCCTTCTGTGTTTCGAACCATTCCTGATCCCTCCCCAGCAGTTCTTCGAAGATCCTGGTTCGAGCGTTTGAGACTTGTAGCTCCCCAAAAACGATGAAGAGACTGAAGTACGCTCCATTGAGTACCCAGCTAGCGATACCTAAGCCTGAAAGTGCGATGCCGTGGCTCGCTACCTTCCGGAGTAGGTCGTCGCCACTAATATCACCACCGCCGAACGATGTGAAAGAGTTGAAAATGTCTCCCAGAAGGATGGCGAATATAGGAGCAACAGAGCTAGCAAGGAGAGCGAGCACCGTCGCGAGACTCAAAATGGGCAAATGGTTCTTGGTGGTAAAGCCAAACAATGACATCCAACTCCATCTCCAGAGCAATATGCGTCTGAAACTGCGGAGCGACATTGACAAGGCAAAAGTCATCTTGTAGAGACCGGTCGGAAATCGTCCTCGGCCAGGTTTTTCGGTGATTCTGGATGAGATGAGAAGTGTGAGAGAAGACAATTACTGTGAGAATGATACATAGAGTAGGCAAAGTATTTAAGCAGACAAGGATAACACAAACTGCAACGCTTCACCGTCTCCATGCTGTCAATGTGAAGCATTACGGGGATCCTTTTCATTCTTCTTTGCATTCTTTGCTTCGATACCAGATGCGGTAATATTGAGGCAGTCATTTCAGCTCAAAGAAACAAAAGGAATTCAAAGGCTCAGCCGTTAACATTGTTCTTCGCTTGCGAGAGACAAAGGGTCACGTGCCGCCTGGTGCGCAAGTGCAACACAAATCAGATTATGCATCCAGAAATCTATGTACATAAGTGACATCCCACAAATCGCGGTCAAAGGTTATATCGAGTAAATGTATGCATTTCCCTACAGTATTGCGTTGTTATGCGGATGGCACACGGATTCATCGCTTTCTGGATCGCCGCTTGGGAGTCACAGCAACTCGAAGCGAAGTTGGAGTAGAGGTCATCGCTCTAACATGACTCTCGGAGAGCAGAGCCAAGTAAAAGTGACCTTTCCCAAGCCCTTCAGACTGCTCAACAAAGGTAATATCCCAAAAACGTGAACTTGAGCGACCGATAACGATCAAGGAGGCACTGACTGAGGAGCTCTTTTGACGCTACGTCGCTGGCAAGGCAATCTCGAGCACTTTAACACTCCGTGGCACCGCCAACTCTTTCCGATTGGCAGTCCTACAGGGACTAGAACAAAAGAATCCAACTCGGTCTTACGAGCTGGCCTTTTTCTCTTCTGGATGAGCCCTCTCATAGATCCAGTCATTCAGACCGGCCCGGTTTCTGGACTCGTCAGAATTTATGCGCATACAATTTGAAATGGCGCGCAGTGACTTACCGAGCAATCTCGACAGCGTAGAATTGCATACGCATTGCTTCAGCGACGGTTAGTGGCTATTCGTGCCTTGCCAAACGAATTGGCCACAGAGTAGCAACTTACCGAAAATGGTTGTCTCTTGATCATACTCGACACCGGGACTGGTTCTGAGTATGGTCCCGAAGTTGTAGTCGCTAATCTTCTTCTCGTACTCGTTGATAAATTTCCGCCACTTTTCCTTGCCCTCCTTGCTCTTCATACTATCCTCGTTAATGGGTGCGGCAGGATCGAAGTCAGGAAATTCCCTCTTGAAGTGCTCGTAGATATCGTCGTCCATCTTTGTTAATCTGAGCTGCGAACCGCGGACCTTCTCGAGAATCGCCCAGTATGTCATCAAATGTTCGACGGCTACACCCGGAAAAAAATAAGTATGAATGGGAGTTCCAATCGACTGAGGGGTACTGACCCTTCACCGCGAACTGCTTCTCCATCTGAAGTCAAGATTAGCGTCAGTAATCGCGGCATTGCTCAGGTGCACGAGGTCAACATGGACTTACATCCTCCAGATTCTCCGCCGTCTCCGGGTCAAATGGCTTCGACATTTTGTGGTTATTGTAGCTTCTGGTAATATAGTTCCAAGATGTAAATACTGCAGTGAGAATGGGGTATAGATGAAGGTTCTTAAATCGGCGTTAGATATGTGAAAAGTTTAGTCTGGTGATATGTTTGCCCCGCGATACTTTTTCTTGGGCGGAGATTTTTGCGTGGTGGCCGCGAACCCCACCAGGCTAGGACCGCACGTCATCAGCTATCACAGAAGATAGTGGATGATAGTAGATGGTTCCTGAAGATCATGCAACAAATCTGTAATGATATGTCTAAACAAATTACAGAAGATAAAAGAACTTCTGATGCTGCAGTTAAATCACATCACGCATTGGCAGCATTAATTACAAAGCGCGACCTGTGCTGGAAATGAGGAATAGCTTTAGAACCACATAAAACGATAAATTTTAGATAGATTGAATTAAAAGGCAGGTATGGCAAAACGTGCATGGAAACTGATAGCTCAGAGGTGTTGCATCAATCGCTTTCATCAGAGTCGGGCAACTCTTCGAACCGTCCACTCTCAACAGCCTGTCTGACTGGATTTTCAACATTCAAAACGCCAGTAGCTCTGGCTCTGCAATTAGGATTAGCATATGGTATCAATGCTGAAGGAACTTTGTCTTACCTCTCAAAAAGCACGAATAACCTCTCTGCTTCCCTTTCCTTCTCCTCACTGGACATTGGCGGGCCCGTGTCCTGTTTCTCGGCATCCCATCGTTGGCCGGTGATAGGGTTAATCTCTGGGTCAAAGCCATTCGAATTGGTTGCGAAAGCTTCACTTGCAGATTGTGGTATCTCAATACCACGAGAGGCTAGTAGACCGGCGGCGAATCCGTATCCGATGTTCTTTGTCAGGTTCTCTGCGTCTTTGCCAGAGAGAACGAACATGAGCTCGGAGATCGCGATTTTCAAATTCTGGAATGGCGTGGTTGATAGTCGCAGCAGCTTGGATGACAGCGTATCTGATGTTCCAATTGGTTGTTTCCTATCACTGTCTTCCGGCAAGAGGAGCCACTGCATGTATTTACGGGGCCCATCAGGTGCCACTTCGTAGATGGTGACAAGTGAGTGGAGAAGTGGGATGGCCTTCGTTGCGAGGTCCTGGGCGTCATATGCAGATACTGCTTGGTCAAGAATGTTGATGAGCTTGTCAACATTGCAATTTTGGTTGAACGTCGGAAAGATGGGACTGCTCTCGAAGTGCTTTCCCTTCTTGTTCTCGAGATCGAGAGTTGACAGGCAGTTCAGAAGGTATCCCAATAAGCCGTCTAGAGGTTTAGGTGGAATGTCAATGCGGCTAATGATCTTGAAGATATAAGGAATCGAAGGGGAGAAGGTCGCGGAAAGATCTGGATAGACCTTTGAGACATTGAATATCAATTTCAACGTGTCAGTAAGTGCCAGCTCGTCTATCTGGGCCAACGGCTTTTTGCCAGACTTAGGAAATTGCTTTGCATGCCGAATTATTTGCTGTAGTTGTCAGTAAAATGCATCAACCAGAATCCCAGTGGACTCACGTAGTTGACATTATCACCCAGTGAGTGATTCTTGATAAGCTTCTCGTAGTCCATGGTAGTGTCATAAGTACATATGAACAGTATACGGCTGATCACCATCTCGTCTTCCGAGTTGTCGCACTGGAAATTCCTGTCTCAGCTTGCCCGGGAGTTTAGTTAGATGGCGGTCATACCTTGAGCATCTCAGCTAATTTGCTTCCATAACCTGTGTCCACGAAAATCTGACGCATTTTTTCATCCAGTAGAAGGGCGTTTGCGACGCAGCGCAGTGCCGCGCGACGCACATCTGGCGTCTCTCCCTCAACACCGTATCTACCCAGTACTTTCATACCCTGTTGTGAGAGTTAGAACGTACGAATGATAAATAGTGTTATGGGCCGCCCTTACCCACTCTGAATAGATGGGGCCTGCATTACTTGGGCTTGTGCCATATTCTCTTAGACGAAGGAGCTTCTCGGCCTTTTCTGCGCCAAGCAGTCCGCTAAGTCAGAATGATTAGTTTGATGGCTAGCTTTGTACGACTTACGGGCAGATGTGAGAGAACTGTCGTTGAGAGCGTTCTCAAGAGACCTCAAAATCTCTGTTACCTCTTTCGATTTGTCTGTATTGATCAGTGGGTTTCTTCGGGTACTAATGAGATCATCGAGACATACCTGCCATCATACTCCTCTTGATTGTATGCCGACGACTGATGGGTCTTTATCAATCGAGCTGAGCTCTGTACGCCCTTCGAGGAAACCCCTGCAAGCCTGATCTCGTACGAGTGACCCCAACAGAATAACGACCGCTAACGACAATCCCAGTTCACAAGAGATCACAGACTCAAGGGTATCAGGACTACTGTTTGAAGAAAATCAAGAGAGATAATTATCTCAAGCCACCTAAGGGAGTCAAAGAAATGGGTCAAAGAGATGCGGTTAGATGAAACAATGAATAAATAGTAGTATGGTGGATAACCGCAACCCCACATATAGTACTCCGTACGGAGTAGTCAGTCGAATTTAAGAGCTACTTAGCACAAAAATTTTCTTTCATTAGGTATAGACATAATACAAAGAAGGCTCGAGAAGGTAGGTAGCCATCTCAAATCCTCTAAGACCTGCTGCGTATATAATCTTCCACCAACCCTCGACATCACCATCTGGGAAGGCTTGAAGGGCGGATGGCCTTGGTGCCTTAGGCACTAAAGCCGTAGCCACCACTTTACGCGTGCCTCAGCCACACGTCGCGATCGAAGATTTGGAGCGCGTCTTTTCGACTTTAACACCCAGGCTTGGCGCGGCCCTAGGATCTACCACTGAAAACAGATCGCAAAGGGCATCAAGGCGCTGGGGACTGCTGCTGAACATCTTTCGCGGGGATTCGCATGTTTAGCTTGGTCTGAGTCTTGTAGCTTGACCATATCGCGATGCTTCTTGTTCTCTTGCCATCCCTGTCCTCATTTCCTTGATCGTTCGATCTTCCTGAAATATGGTGGAGGTTCTCGGCCCTCTGTCTCCTCGTCCGCCCACTCCACCTAGGACAGGTTCTCGTATACTGTCTGAGAAAGATCGAACAGAAGATTCTCCTATCGTCGTACAGACTCCCGTCGATTCTCCTTTCGCCGCGGACAGTTCCGTTGGTGCTCCGTCTACTCGACAATCCAAGCGGGTGAACTTCTCGCCATGGACCAAGTACATCAAACCTCCGTCTTTTACAAATTCTGCTCTCAGATTGAAGTCAGAACTCAAGGAGTTGCCCCCTTCGAATGAATGCAAACCTACGAAGTCCATTCTGAAGGCGACAAATGCGCATCCTCCGATCGACACAACCCACGTCGCCCCTTGCACTCCCGAATCCTTCGCCATGCTGCTCGAGTCGATCACACAACAATTGGCTGGGGAGTCGATAAGTTCCAGACTGGATGCTTATATGCAGTTCTTTGGGGCCTTGAGGGCTTACGAAGGGCTTCCCAGTGAGCAAGAAATAGGGCAGAAACTTGGGCTCATTACCCAGTTCATCCAACGGGATCTTAGCACAGATCTTGGAGATGGTGTGCCTCTAGGCACGAATCTTGTCATTCAAGCTCTCAAGTTAGCCGCTGCGCTCTCATGGAACATCGAAATAGCTGCGCAACTGTCAGACGAATTCAAGGTCTTCCTTGTGGAGCACTCCATCAACGCCCTTGATAGCGCGAAAGCACCCAAATCGATATTGACACATTATATGTCCATACTGTCTACACAAAACTTCCATTCCAAAATCATGACAAGCGCGCGGATTATTCGTCTACTTACCGTACTCGAAGACATTACCAGCCGTGTGAATGGAAATGCAATAGTCTTTCAGCGTCTAAGCATTTATCAGCGCCTTCTTACTCAATCCAAGTCGATTTTCGTTTCCCAGGCAGGCCTCTGGGTAGAGCATCTCATATCCGGTCTTCTTCACCACGTCAAAGATACGAGGATTAAGGCCATCTCTTTGGGCTTTCAAACTTCGATGATTTGCGGTCCGAATCCCAATTTATCGAAAAGTATTCGTGATCTATTCGATCGTCCTCTGGACAATGGCAGAAAATTAGTATCGGAAATATGCGAGCGAATGTCTAGGATGATGGCAAATATCGAAAGTGGCGTGCATGTGCCCCAGGTTTGGAGCATCATAGTCTTACTTTTGAGAAGCAAAAGGCTCAGTATCGACCAATGGGAGCATTTTAAAGAATGGGTCCTTGTGCTGCAGAGGTGCTTCAACTGCAGTGAATCATCTATCAAAGCTCAGGCTATTCTTGGCTGGAACCGATTCGTCTACGTCGTCAGCCCTAGCGACACGACGAGTCGGTCAATGCTGAGAATGCTAAGCAAACCCATCATGTCGCAGTTCGAGCGAAAAAAGCAAGAAAGACATGGATCACAGCCCGGACAATTAGCTTTGTGCAGCTATCACAACCTATTATACTATGCGTTTCGTCCGTCGGCAACGTTCCAACACCTCGATGTTGTCTGGGAAGAGTACGTTACTGGCCCCTCGACGATATTTGCCTCATTTCCTCACTTGAACGATCGATTCTGTCACGCCCTTTCCAACCTACTATGGAACCCACAAGCCAAGATATGGACCGAGAACAAAGTCAACGAGAGCACTAAACTCGAACCTGAGGAGCTGCCTTCCATCGACTGCAGATGGGTGAGGTCAAGAATCACGATTATCCTGAATGTCTTCGAAGCCATCTTCAGGACTTCCCTTTGGGCTGATGATTTGGATAAATCGAATATCGCTGCTGCCTGGGTCAGCCTGTCTCAAGCTTTGTCCTATGCCTCAAGTAAAGAGATCACGCCCTCCCCAGAATCCATGCAAGCTGTTGCCAGCGTGCTTGGACTTCTCCAACGGCTTTGGAATGCCGGTCCTTCCTCGCTAAACGCTCTTGGTAACGACTCGATGGATATTTTCTTTGATCGTTTTCGGTTCCTGTCTACTACCATGATCTTTTCTCTGGGAGGCATCCCATTTACTGAGAAACTACTCCTGAAGACTGCCAATGAGACTTTCCAGGCTGCAAATACGCCGACCCATCATCCTTTGCGGGCAAACACTAACCTGGACAGCCCTATCCTACATCTTCTCCGATTCATAAGTGACGTGACTGGGGTCGCTGAACCTACACCCTCTTACTTGCGTCTGGTTGATGGTACGCTTGAGGCTGCTTGCAAAAGTAGAACATCCCGAGGCTCCCGGCTGGAGCTCCTTCAGCAATGCGCGCGGCTGTATCCGAATGATGCCGACTTTGACTTTGGCGTCCAAAACTTTGCTCAAACCGTGTGGAATTCGACTGCGCAGCTGGCTGCGGAGTCTCTAAGGTCTTTCCCCCTTGAATCTGCGCGCGAACGCGATGGATCCGTGATTCATGATTACGAAAGTGTTGTCAAAATCCTCTCTACAGGGCTCAGGTTTTCCACTATTTTCCCGACATGGAATCAGCTGCTTGATGCCCTAGTTCGTGTGATGAGAACCGAGAAAGGGGATCGGGCCATTGCATCGATGGCTTTGGAACCTTTGGCTGAATGCATGATGACAATTGGTGCTCGGAATACCTATCTTCCCCTGTCGTCACTCTTCACCCAGTCACTATCCATCCCATACTGCCATCGGAGCGATTCGGGCACGAAGGAAGGCGAGGCCGTTACAAGCGTTTCCAAAGAAGACGTATTCTTTCCCCATCGATTGGTACAGTTGGTGAATCGCACACTCCAAGAATCTTACTCAACATTTGATCCATCGAAGACCAGCGGTGTCGCGGATTTTATAGAGTCTTTGACATCCTTTTTAGGCTCTGGTATCCTGGCTTTTCGACGGGAATTACTTGAAAACTTCCAGGGATTCCTTGCGCTTTGGCTCAGAGATGAGGCACGCAAACTCAATATCGAGAGTGGCGTGGAAAGCAGGATCCTTACAGCTGTACGTGTACTAAGCAAGGGGGCTTTTTAGATGCATACTAACTTGGGTTTAGTGCCGTGCTTTGTCGTCAGCTGTCATCAATATTTTGCAAAGTTCTTCCCCCCATGACGCCTCGTGTCTTCAGAGATTCGAAATCGTTATCGGTGCGGGGCTCCAATCCTCTCATACATCAATTGCGAAGAGATTCTTGGAATTCTGGAATTCTACATTTGGATCGCAGGAGGCCCTGAAATATCCTGAGGTCATCTCTCGTGCCCTGGCGAAACTGCTCCAGCTCCAATCTGTGCATCGAGCTGGTAATACACAGGTGCGCACTCCAGCAGTCTGTCTGAAATAATTTTATGTGCTAACTTTTTTAGGGCGGCGCACGCACCAAATCCGTCTCACCAGAGGGTTCACTTGAACCGGTAGATATGTCAATCAAGTCTCGCATTTCGTATATCCTAGATGACACATTCGAACATTCTCGGTCTCCCAGCTTCCATTCTTCGCCTGTCACAAATGAACGAGAGGTTACGGCCTTGCCGTTGAGTCGAAATCCCGATGTCATTAGACGGCAGCCCGCGCCGCCCTTCAAGGACAGACATGCCGGATCTACTATCGGGATTGAGTCGGACCCTTTCACAACAGGCAGTAAAGACTCTAGCAAGCCCAATGACGTGTTCTCTATAATAGACAGCATTCGGTCGTCTTCGCCTCTTGTGCAAACTCCGAGAGAACTGGGGTTCATGACCCCGCCGCATGCGCGTCAACTAAGCAACCCAGACATGAGTACACATTCACCTCGGACGCCTACGTTTCCAGTAGTTGCAGCCGAGAATGAGGATGGCTTCTTCGGCTCTTCCCCTACCCCGGGCACCAGAAGCAGGACGCAGGTGGTCGGCTCAACTATTCGCTCATCGCTAGCGACAGAGGTGATGGATTCTCGTATGGATATCGATCCCCCCTCCTCGCCTCCAGGTATAAGGTCTCTCAGTCCGAACTCACGCAACAAGTCAGCCCCTTCAGAGCTCCCTCAAATGCCTGCAGACGCAGATAACGAGAATATGAGTCTCAGGGAGAAAGAGAATATCCGTGCAGTTCCGACTCAGGAGAAGACGACAGTCAATAATGTCACGTCCGAGTATACTGGTCTCGGGAAAGGGAAGCACGTTGAGCCTGGTAAATCGGAAAAGCCTCTCAAGCGCCGCCTTCGTTCTTCTGCGGGCAAACAGCAGATCGCGGAAGCGTCTGCCATTTTAGAACCTGCACAATATATAGCACTTCAGGAAACGGAGTCTGTACCAGAACCCCTTGAAAATGGCAAGGCGTGTTTCTTAGAAAGCGTCCACGTCCCCGAATCTGCGCCCAAGATAGTCCAAGTGATCATGGAAGGCAATTTGCTACAAGAGGAAACAATCACAAATCCGAACTGCATTGCAGACTCTTTCAGCGATGACATGGAGACTCAGGTAGCCTCTCAACTGGAACAAGACTTGGAGTCTGCGGGCAATATGAACGAGGAGCCTAAAAGCGAAGCACCTTCAGAACCTCCTAAACAACAAGCGACAAGAAAAAGAAAACGGGACGCTAAGGAAGCTGACGCAGCTGAAACACCTTCTACTCGAGAGCGGCGTCGATCTTCGAGGTTGTCATCGACCAAGACACCAGCTGCTGTCGAAGTCCAAGAATCCATGAGCACTCGTGCCACGAGATCAATGGCCACTGCATCATCGCAGAACCCCAAGTCTTCGCCCGCCGAGTCTGTTGCAAAGAGACGCAAGCGTCAGTCCGAGGGAGAGGGGGAGATTCCAGCCTCCGTCATTCCGGAAGCCTTGGAACCGGCCAAAGAGCAGGGTACATCGCAAGAACATATTGCATCAAATCACGACCCAGTTGATGTCTCAGGTACCACCGAGATTTCACCTCAAAAGCGGAGATCGTCCCGTCTAGGAGGTCATGCAGCAGCAACCATCGCGGAAGAAAGTCCGTCTCGGAGGCAGTCACCACGTACTGCCCGCTCACGGAGACAGGCCAAGAGCAAAGAGCTTCTCTCGGAAAGCTCTTCTCTTAGAAAGGTAGAAGCCAGTACAACTGATTCTGTGACGGAAACACCAACTCCTGATCAGAATCTGACTCAAACCTGGGGGTTGACCCAGGAGACATCTGTTCATGGCAGCAATCTTCCCGAAACGATTACACTTGACGCATCAGTACAGCCAAGCACCGACGGCTCCGGTGATACTGAGATGGTTGAAGCAGACTCAGCGGCCGCTCCAGACCCGACAGACGAGCATGCCCAAGTCGACGCTGCTCAGGCAAACGCTGATGTTAACGATCATGCTCCCGAGGACAAAATGGTTTCCCATTCCGTTCAGACAGGTACCCTGGTCGGCCAAGAAGGCGTAATATCCTCTCTGCGAAGGGTACTAAAAGATGTCAAATCAACCACCCTGAATTTATCCGGCCTGAAAGAGATCGACGATCTCCTATTTGATATTCGGGTGGAAATGCACGAAGCACTGAGAAGACGTGCAGGGTAATTTCTTATTTGCATAGCGCTGGCGTTTCATTTATATCTTTTATATCTACCATCCTCCTTTACTTTCCCGTTCTGGCAATAATCGTTTGGAGGAAAGCCGCTATTACAACGTTTCTCTGGTCAGTTTTCCAGGTTGGTCTGTCTGAGTGTGGCCTTTTAGAGATTGGGGCAAACGGGCTGGACGGTGCGCACTATAAATAGAATTTCATTCATTGCTCTGTTTTCAGGCAAGTGATCGTTCAAGATGTAGAGAGGCCCGGACGTGGTAAACGGAGATCGACTCCTTTGTCTAGAATCGGTGTTTGTGCACATCGATTTGAGGTAAGCAGGGACATTATATATACGCCATAGTCCACCTTTGATACCCTGAATGACAATACATCGTCAACTTCACAGCGACTATTCCACGAATAGCCCTCGGAGATACAGAACAAAGGACCCGGACACTACTCTTGAACTAGAAGAGCATATACACCAACCAAACCCATGCCAGCACGCCTGCGCATTATCTCGGGACTTTATGGCATGACTCCACCCGGTATATGACGTCCTGCCCCAGAGCCATCAATTAGGATGCAGTACTCCGTATGACAGATCTGCGGAATCCTAGCATGATTTGTGGATGGCGTCGCCCTTTGTAGGACACTCCCATTGGTGCGTAATGCCTCCCGTGACAAGTGACGGCTGAACCCAGAGGTAAACGTGGCTTAGCCGCCAGTCTGTGCGGCAGGGCTGTTGAAGGTTCGCTCCGCTGGCGAGAGTGGCCAGGCTCACGTAGCTGTACATGTAGACGCTGAAACCTTCTTTCTTGTCCTTGGGATCACGCTGCGGGGTTGGCTCTTGGCCCCTCGGGGGCGATGAGGATGTTGACTTGCTTGAATAGTCAAGGAACTTCTGAAGTCTCGAGATCAAAAGGGTGACATTAAAATTTTCCTTCGTGTAGCATTTGCGTTTCTTACTGTGGGAGTAAAGATAGTTCCAATTCAATGAAACCTCTCATCATCTGGGATGGCTGATCATTCAGTCGAGTCCTCGTCCTCGACCTCGTCTGCAACGCCTCTGGGATATATTGCGCCTCCGATCGTTGTGTTTCTAGTCCTCCTCGTCTGGTCTGTATGACATCATCTATCTCGTTGTCGCATGCACTGATCTTCATTAATTTAAATTAGGGCACTTGTCACCATGAGATATCGCATCCATAGACGGGAGCGAGAAACATGGCTCCGCAGAGACCTCTACTTCCCGGGAAGGACAATAATCGCCGATACGGATATCGACAAACAGCTCCCGCTTGTCAAGCTCAGTATCTGGAGGACACTGCACCGTGGAAAGCAAGCCCTTGGGGCAGAGTGCGACGCCCCGGACCCGAGCCTGTGTTCTATTTGCATGGAACAGCTCAGGGATGATGAGGACGTCCGCCCGCTTCCTTGCGAACACATTTTTCATCCGGCCTGTGTGGATCCGTGGCTGACGAGATATCGCACCTCGTGTCCTTTGTGCCGAGTCAGTTTGGTAGAACATGACGGGAAGTCGGATCTGGAGGATGGGAGGCGAGCTCGGTTTATGGGTATGCCTGTGCCTCCCGAACGGGCGTTGATCGGTTTTGTAGGACGATTCGGGTGAAGTCCTCATGTAATTAGAATGGTCACTCTTCCTCTGTTTGTCCAATTTCATGTGTCATGTATTGCGGTCTAGTCTAGCGGGAGATGGTTCTATTCCAGGTATCGCAGCGGGCATCACAGAAATGAGCCTTCTGGCCTAACTTGGTTGATTCCGGGAGTTAATGGTATACTCAGTTATTCTACTACATGTCATGGTCAACTCTTTGAGATTCATTCATTCTATATTCAGGATTAAACCCTCCATTACCCCGTTTGGTAACCGGCTATTCGCCCTGGTGAACCCGGTCTAGACCCTGATTCCAATATATTCTTATCCTTGGTCGATCCAGCTTCAAGATCGATTTGCACACGTCCCTTTTTCACACATTCTTGTTGATAGTCCCATTCATCCAAGTCTATTCCCTGGAGCTCTGCGGAGTTTTCCAGGTGTTCACAGGATGGTTTGGCGATTGCTTCCTTGCTTGCTTCTCGTCCATCTAGTCTGAGGGACGGCATAAGCTCCTTGATAGCCCGTCGATATCCGGATCCTTTGATCTTGAGGACACGGTTGAGAGTAAGCGAAGGTCGCGACTGTGAGCCTGAGGATTCCTTGCCGGCCTGAGCGCCCTGCTGTCGGTACTGCCTGCTTCCGTATAGGAATGATTTCAGACCGAATAGCTTGCGGAGCAGCGGCCATAAGCACATCAAGTTCGCCACGTACATTGCTGTGCTGGCCTCCCGAATATACCAAATCTGATAGGTCGTGGTCAAAGGGGAGGCGAAATTGAACACTTTGTTCAGGATGGCCGCCGCAATGGTGAATACGCCGAGGCTCATGATGCAGATAAGCAGTAGCTTTTTTCTCATCTTCATCTGTGCTTTAATGAGTAGCGGGACCGGGACTGCTAGCATAGCTGCATCCGACGATATGTTGAAGACAGCCTGAGTGATGGAGTAGTTCTGGTAGGTCGCACATTGCAGGTCCTGGACAGGCATGGCCCAGTACTGGGAGAATGGTCGGCAGTAGACGCCATAATAGGTGACCATTATGACAACGAACCCAAGCGCAACATACACCGCGATTATCTTGACATAGAGATGTAACCGGAGGTTCTTGGTTAACCGCCAGAACAGGGTCAGCATACAGATCTTGACTCCCCAGGTCGAGAACAGCATGCACTGTTCCAATCCAATGACGATCTTACTACCAATGATCCGGTCCTTGACTTCTTGAGGATTGGCTAAAACTTTGTCGTAGTCGGCTGGGTCCATCAGGTTCGTTGCATAACGGGCGGATATTTGGATCAGAATTAGTAGACTCGTATAGATCAACTAGGATGAGGTCATTGCCAGGTCAGCCGTTTGCGATAGAGGACGAGCAGACGGTCCACACTCACAAATGTTGCACTCATGACATAGTCATCAACTATTGCACCAGTTACCGTTAGCAGCTGTGATACGGGCTGGCGCAAATCTTACCGGAGCATACAGTATAAGCGCTTGACCGATCCATTCGAGATAACTCGAGATATCCTTCGCCTGATCAGACATTACCACCTCTCAAAGGCGTCTCAACGTACATACATTCTACCCACGTAGAGGACAATCGCAATGCTCCAGAAGATGAGAGACTCCGTGAGCAGCTGGTGTGGAGTGGGCGACACGTTCCCCATCGTGACAATGGAGCGCAACGGATGGGCAATCTGACATTGGGTGCTATTGCTCCTCCGAAGCAAATAGCTTCAGTTCGTACGCAACGTCAAGGTTGCATCGCCGTTTAGAGGTTTTAAAGATCGAGCCCTATCAGCCATTTCACACTGAGCCATAATGTCTTAGGTCTATCAAATGGTCCGCGTATCCAAACATTGATTGACCGCACTATCATCCTGAAATTTCCTATCAGAACTGAAACGATGCAGATCGCAGTCCCTCATTTGTTGTCTGTCGTAATTTGTCAGACTCAAGACCTAGATGAAGCAAGGGAAGAAAGGGAGGGAAGGGAGAGTTCAAAGCAAGGGACGCCAGGACCATAGGTCGTAAGGACCATTGGCCACATCCACGCTCAGAGAAACATCCATTGTTCGGCAACACCGCTTGAGTGCATTCTTCCGCATCAAAGAATGCTTGGATGTTTCCCAACTCCAGCCACTCGAGCTGCGAGTCCGAACAGGTTGACAGGCTGGGGAGCACGAGCCACGAAATTGTATGACCCACCGGTGTCCTTCCGCTCGAATCATGTTGGATTATTTATCTTTGAGTCCTTATCTCCCTTGCACGTCCAACCAAAGCCTTTTCAAGTGAGGGAGGTTGTTGAATGCCATCACATGCGTTTGCCGTCTTAAGCGCATCCTAGCCACTTGGAGGGACATCTGCATAGCTCCCCATTAAGCTTCTGTAAGCGGGATTTCCTCCCTGGGTTGATCTCTTCTACAACCAAGGGTATTCAAGGATGCAATTTCGCATGTAAGGTCTCTGACGCCACGACATTTTGCGTCCAGGCCCGAACAGGGTTCGCTTGTCCTCATGACTTGCGCAAGACAGTCAAGATCGGCATAATGGCAAGCTTAAACCAAATACAACGCAAAGTAGTCTTCGAGCGTGCGTTTGGAACCCTCAGTGGTAAGCTATTCCACGCTTTGCTTTCCTAGCAGGTGCTCACATTGCTCACCTGGTGATGCACAATAGCCCTGTTTATGATCCGTTGAGATCAAACTTCTTCAATCATCGTCAGTCCATTTGTCCAAATAGCGGTCAGGCATTGATTAGAGTCATTCATACATGTCTCATACCAGCCAAAGCATTCTCCAGTATGTAAGGCTGCATTGCCAAATTCAATCTCGGTAAAGGCATAGGTCTCCACAAATTGTTCAGGAGAAGAAAAGGACAAATAACAAACATGGCGGAACAATGTACGTCATTCCCAGAGTGTTGTCAAAGGGTCATTCTTTGCCAGTACGTACCTCAGGTAGAGAGGCTCCGAAAGAGAGGAAAGCCGCAAGCCAGGATTTCCAGCCGCCTCTTCTCGAATGGTTTATCGCTCCGAAAACCACGCGTATGTTTAGCTAGTGGAGAAGCCCTGGAGCAACACCTCCGAACACCTCTCACTCCAGCTGAGTTATCTATGGCCGCATGAGACCTTAGGTGTCAGTAGCTAAATCCAACTCAGAGTTGAAGCTCATCTTTGCTTTGCGGGCTTTGTGGCGACCCAGACGGACAATTACAGATGCTTCCTCTGTCCAAGCAGGCAACACTTTCCAAAAGCGCTAGGGCCGCCTGGTGTTGTGAGGCCATGAGCTTCTAGGCTTGCGACAAAGGATTAAAGTAGTTAGCACGGAAACAACGGATGATGGTTATCCTGTCACTTAATCTCCTTTAGTCGGCAAACATTGGCCGAAGGAGGAAAACTGGACAATTGATAGGTCCCATCATTCACGTGTTCCAGATCATAGATTCAATCTGCGTATCTGCAGTCACTCTGCACATCCGTAGCTATCATCCACAATGAGCAGCTCAATAATGTCTCTTCAATAGAAACATCTCAACTCGTTTGATTTTCAGAGCTGACTTAGTCGAGTGGGAGAATCGAGTCCAGGCCTACCGCAGACAACAACGCAGTAAAATGCTATATTTGAGAATCAGCAATGACCTTGAGTTTGCAGAGGATGGGTTTCAGCTCTATCATTTAATACACTGTACAGATTATTTATGGGCATGCTTGTCAATTGATAGTCTGAAGTCTCCTCCATGACGAATGAAAAGCTATCTTATGTATGGTTCAATCACAGAATCATAAATTGCTGAATGTTTTAAGAAGATGAATACAGAGTACGTTAACGCCATGTTTCCCTCAGGTGCCCTTTTGCCCGTCAGACTAGGAATAAATATTTTAAGCGAGGGAGCCATGTCGGACAACATTGTCCATGAATGAGCCCCCGATATTAGGGCATATTACAGCTTTTCGCGGTGCAAGATGTTCGCTAAATGGATTTGGTGCACTCATGGTTATTCTAAACAACATGACCTCAAATTAGAAAAAGCTGTGGTGCTGCGTATAAACTCTCCATTGTGGCTGCCTGGGCAAGGATTTCAATGTTTAAGCCAGGCTATTATATTCTCAAGCTTAAATATTGCAGCAGTGGTGAGTTCATACGCAGGTAATGGATGAGCTACATATCCATTGACATCACCATTAACTCCCAGATGAATTTCTTGTCTAGCCATTCAACGGCTAAACATGACATCATCTTTGAGTGTGCAAAGTTTTTATTCCATTCTTGCACGAGGAATATCGCCAGTAGCCATATGTTGATGTGCTGAACGCAGAAAGATGGGCATCCAGAGGGTAGAGCCAGTGCTGTGCTGTATGATTTGTGGAGCAGAGGTTCCACCTTGGAGGTAATATGCTGATTGAGTCGAGTTGTCTAGTTCTTGACGACCCAAAGACAAACCAGATGCTTTTATCTGGAATCTCACACAGAAGTTCGTCGAGATCCTGGGAACTGCCAATTCCGAGGAACCCTAAGAGGGCCTTCATCAGAAATTCAGCATTACATGCGAACCGTTGGAATGCGGACTTCCACATGGCGAATCTGTTCGGACAAGACAAGCCCCGAAGGGCAGGGCAATGCATAGGATATCCGATTCATGCCCACTGCTGGTTGCTCCTCGAACGATTTGTTGGACATGATCTCATCATCCCAAATCTCCACATATTTGTCCGTGCTGTTGAAGGATTCTGGAACCATGCATCTGTCGATGGGGTCTGCTATATGGAGGGCACACTTTGCACACACTGGCTGAAAGAACAGCGTACGTGTACTTCGGCTGAGCTTCTCAAGCTGCCTGCAAAGTGGACGAAATGCAGATTGTGGCATACACCCGGGAGTCCATTGAGAATTCCCGACATACAACGATTGATCGCTCAAAACATCCAGCCACGAAAAGACAATTCTGGCCAAGGACAAAGTGGGATCCAGTCACAGGGTTTCTGCCTGTCTCTTGATATTGCGATGACTATTGTGGATTTGATCTATGAGACTCAACCACATTGCCAACAGCGCATTAACAATATACGTAATCTACTGGAAGCCTTTCGATGGAGCTTGCCTAACACCTACTGGCAAGCCCGATGTAACACACAGCTATTGTTTGAACTCGACGACCTGATCAAGGCCGGAACTGCAGCAAACTGGTCAGGACTGTGCCTGGGGGTTGAGGAGCTATTATTAGATGATAATTGGTACTGTAATAGTGGGTTGAACTATCGTGCTCAAACACTGAAACTGCTTAATGGCATCAAGGTGAATTTTCTCCGCCTTTTGTATGAAGGTGTAGGCCAGTGATTGTGATTTAGAAGCGCTGTTCATGTACCATGGGGAATGGGCTTATAGTCCCAAGCAACTAGCTAGGATGTGCTTGGGTGCCCTAGATGGTTATTTAATTAAAGTACGAAAGTCTACTGCTATATGTCACATTCACTACCTGGTAGGTGGTTATCTTATTCGCTTCCAGCATTGCTATATTCACTATCTTGTCCACTTCCCAGAACCTTGGTGGGTTAGCCTAATATGTTAAGCCCTCTGCCCTCGGAGTCTGCTTAGTGTTTCTCTTTCTTCCTACCACTCTCTCTAAAGGCCCACCAAAACACTAACGTAATGATAATATGGCTGTGATCGGTCAAATCTTGCTATAAGCTTTGTATGTATTGCACTTTGATGGAAAGTCTATCTTGTTAACTAACTGATGCTAGTACATGGGTATCCTGGCTATATCTGTTGGGATACGTCGCCTAAGCTGACACAGTGCGGAACGGGATATCAACGGAGTCTGGAACTCCATTTTGAACTGGGTTTTTGACCCAGTCAATGGGCTCATCACGGAGCCGCAGGCAATGCACACTGAAACTGGGGGAGCCAGGGGCGTTCAAATTTGAACACCCTTAATGTCGCAGGGGGAACACGCGGTTCCTTTCTCATTACACAGCGCAAGTCTGCAGACGGTGGTTAGATGGGATAGGCCAGCTCCTGAGATACCTCAGGATGCAGCATGGAACCGGCGCGGCTCTCAGCGCCCCGCGTATGGGATCCTCACGATCGGGGGAAGGGTGGACTTCCAGAGTACATCCCAGCAGACGAAAGCCAGTGGCGCTGTTTAGTAGAGACCCACGGAGCAATAAATGAGACAGTCAACACGATCCAAGTGATGCGGTCTGGGCCCTCGGTCACAGCCCAGCAATTCCTTCATTCCACGTTCTTTGGCATCCACGTACCAGGGTAAAGGATATCGGTGGGCGCCATGCACCGATCAAAAAGGTCGATCTTAAGGACATGGCGAACACTTTCAAAAAGAATGGTATTATCGAGCCACCGACGAAATCAGGGCTTGGCCAGCGACTTTGTTCGACATGCCCCCCTCAAAGTATTTCAATGTACTTGGAGTACTGCGGGGGACGGCAGGTACTGAAAGAAGGGCAAAGTCATGTGCAAGAATACCGTTTATGATTGTTTTACGCAGAATATCTGGATCGCCACCAGCGGACACTCCTCTACGGCGACACTCAAGTATGTGATGGCCGAGATAGGCACCGACGGAGTCCTCTTCAGCATCAACTACCCATATGAGCCCATCGAAATGGCTGTGGCTGGTGGGATAATGGTGCGAAGGCCATTAAGGAGGCAGTGGGAGGTGTTGAGGCGTATCGTTGCATCGGCCGGGACAATGCGAAGAAACAGCTGAATTTTGCAATTAGTGGGTTTTCGGCGCCTGTATGATCGAGCGTGATCATATGTATATGTAACTATGGCAATTAACTGCTCTTTTCGACTCAATTCATTTAGATATATTCAGTTCGACGACCTACCAAATAATCGGGGGAAGAAATGATATAAACAAGGCTGCGGATTACATGATTCAGTGCTAAAAGCAAGGACCATAGTATTGGACTATGTGATGATCCTAGAAGTAGTTACTTTGGCGAAAGAGTTTGGAGAAGGCGAACTTCATCGAGCAGCAAGTGGTTGGGACATATAAGACATAATTTGGTCTGCATTAGGTCTCTGACGTTTATCGTCCTCTCTCTTGTCAGAAATCCACCACCATGCACCGGAAGCTTTCTCGTTTCTTTATCCAAATATGGAAATAGCAGAGAACAATCGAAAAGCCAATGAATATGCCCGAGAATGTGGACTCAGCGCGAGGATCGACAGGAAAATACTACATACCTGAGCTCCCCCTTGCGTGGGGATCGCAAGAGCAAAGTTCCCTTACCCCTCTAGCGGTTGTAGCAGTAGGTACTTGCAGACGTTGTCAAAGATTCTGAGAGACTGTAGTCTCTTGGATGGTTCATCTTATCATACCACAGCTCGCCAAATCTTACCATATCCCATGGCGACGACTCGCGGCGTATGCTCGGGATGGACAAGATGGTATTCTACCGCTGGCCATGGCATCGGCGATTTTGACCAAGTAAGCCTACGCTGTTCAGATATGCAACCCACGTGGCGTCCATATGGGGGCAGCCACAACTCCTTGCATGGGGCAGGAGGTAAGAGTTAGGAGGTAGGTGGTTTCAGGAGCACATGCCACCGAGTGCCTCACCTGTGGCACATCGAGAGCACCAGTCTTGGTTGTACAAAAACGATTGGGCTCCCCTTCTCACCACTGCATCACTTCACCCAGTCAACCAGATGGATACTTCCTATGATCCCAACATGATGGACGATGCACGTTTAGAGGCTGCCTTAGGACACAAGCAGGAGCTGAGAAGACACTTTGATCTCTTCAGCTTGGTCAGTCTCGGTATTGTCATTGCGAAGTAGGTCAAGCACTAGGCTGGCCATCTGCACAGTTTGCTGATATGTTCGCGTAGCTCCTGGGCCGTTACTGGAGGAACGGTCGTGGCAGCTCTGCAAGATGGAGGCTCCATGGCAATGCTTTACGGCCTCATACTTGTCAGTATATTCTATACACTCATATCCGCATCCCTGTCCGAGCTCGCGTCTTCGATGCCATCAGCCGGGGGTGTTTATTATTGGGCATCGGTGTCAAGCCAAGAATATGGACGGTTTGTTGGCTTTTTAACCGGATATCTGAATGCTTGTGCCTGGCTTCTGTCAGCTGCGTCGATTAGCTCCATGCTCGGAAATGAGGCCGTGGCCATGTACATGCTCCTCAATCCCGGCTCGCAATGGCATTCGTGGCAGGTGTTCATCGTTTTCCAACTGCTGGCTTGGATATGCTGCGCGATAGTTTGTTTCGGGAATAAACATATCCCTACGTTGAACCGAGCTGCTCTTGTGCTCTCTATGTGTGGTCTGTTGGTGACTGTCATTATCCTCGCCGTCATGCCGAGAAAGCATGCAAGCAATGATGAGGTTTGGAGAAGATATCACAACAACACTGGCGGTTGGTCGGATGGAATTTGCTTCCTCATAGGTTTGATCAACCCGGCCTTTTCAGTCGGAGTCCCCGACTGCATCACTCATCTTTCCGAAGAAGGTTAGTGATCTTGCTCCTGAAGGCTACTACATTCCTGGGTAACAATGTTTTCTATATAGTTGTGAAGCCCAGAACCAGAGTCCCTCAAGGAATGATGCTCCAGATGTTAACTGCCTTTATCACGACTTTTGTCTACCTAATTGCTTTGCTGTACTCCATTGAGGACCTTGACGCTGTTTTACATAGCGATATCTCGTCTTTTCCAACAGCAGAAATCTACCGACAAGCCACTGGGTCCAGGCAGGGGGCAGTCGGACTGGTTGCGGTGCTCTTCCTGACCGCGTTTCCAACCCTAGTTGGGGTTTACATCACCGGGGGTCGCATGTGGTGGAGTCTTGCTCGTGACAACGCAACGCCTTTCGCCTCATATTTCAGTCATGTCCATCCAACACAGAAGAATCCCATCCGCGCCACAGTAGCTATGGCTGGTATGGTGAGTTGCCTGGGTTGCATATACATAGGCAGTACTACCGCATTCCAGGCACTACTATCGTCCTATGTTGTGCTGAGCACTCTGTCATATCTAGGGGCTATTCTGCCGCATGTGCTGACAGGCCGCAAGAATATAGTGCCCGGACCTTTCTACATGGGAAGAAAGATCGGCTTGGTGGTGAACGGAGTGGCTGTGGTCTATATTCTTGTTACAATTGTTCTCTTTTGCTTTCCACTCACCCTCCCGGTCACAGTTCACAACATGAACTATTCAAGTGTTATTGCTGTAGGACTAGTCACTTTGACCGCGTTATGGTGGTTCGTTGGCGGAAGACGTGATTATAGGAGGCCGCAATACAGCGTCGACATCGCGCAAGGTCTTCCTGCCGAGTTGGATACAGAGAAGGGACCATCATGACTGGAGAGTGTCCGAAGCTACCCGATAAAATTATGAATGTTTGCATTTCTATCTCTCAAGGGCCGCAATGTGTAAGAACAACAATTGAAATCTATCCAACGCAATGGGCGAAACCCAGCATGAGTCCAGCAAGAATTACTTTCCATTTGAACCTTGAGAGACACTCTCAGACTGCAAGTTTGTTTAAGTTAGTTCCTTAAGGCATCACAAGAGTTCGCTATCATCATCATTCAATAACAGAAAATATCAACCCCGCCATTGCATCCTTGCATTTACAACCTCGGGCGAATTGACTGGCTCCCCTCCCAGGACTCGCCAGCCTCCAAGGTCTGCCAGCCAGCGACAGAACCGGCCTCGATGCAAATCATCTTCTTGTATGCGTCATCCGGGGCAAAATCGGCCATGCCCTTGGCCTTTTCGATCCAAGGGTTCCAGACAACGACATCATTCAACCCCTCGCGTGTAACAGAGAAAATAGGCTTGTCGTCAGCGGCAGATGCCACGATGATGGGAACCTTAGGGTCCAATTCTTTGTACACACGATCTGTCTCCTCGTTGATCTCCAATGCAGGCGAAGTCTCGGTGTGCGTAGTAGCGTTTCGGGTCTTATCGATGTAGGTCTTGGATTCGAGGTTCTTAACCCGGATTTGCGAGATGTCCTGGGACGCATTGGTAATTAGCAACGTGACACAGCAGCGTCAGGATATAAATGGCAGCTTACATCAATTCTGAGATAGGTGTGCATCAGAACCTGGAAGTCGAAATTCTCGTTGCCCTTGTTCTGCACTTGCAGGGATGTTTCCAGACCTTCCTTGGTCAAGGTAACACTGTACACAAGGCCAAACTCATACGGCCAAGCCTTCCGGAATTCCTCGCTCAGCATAGTGTGAGACAGACCGAAGTCGAGCTTGACCGAATCATCACAATCTTTCTTCCCTAGCGATTCGGATGATGACTTGCCCAGGAACTCCCAGTTGGAGTTGCGCGCAAAGCCATGCTGCGGGAGGGAGGAGGTAGCGTGGTTAGGAGGAGGAGGACCGAAGACCTATAGCAAATGGAAGATTTCTCGGATTAATGCTGCTGCCATTTGCGGATAAAGTGGTCTTAGACGTACAGGGAACACAACGGGGATGCCACCGCGGATAGGCTTGGAGCCATCCAAATGAGCCTTTTCACTCATGAACAACTGTTCCCGCCCATTTGCAAGCTTCCACGAGGTGACCGTTGCTCCATACAAGTGAACAGTGACTGACTCGCCGGTGGGCAAGGTGGCCTCGATCTTGTTCTCCCGGAAGGTGATGGTGGGCTGGGGTAGTGATGCGGCCACACCAATGGCTGAGGGCTTGTTAGACCGCTCCATTTTTCGATGTCAGATTCAAAGGAGATCTTAGGCTAGACTTGTGGGTTTGAGAGGCTAAAGAGCGAAGATGGTCGTTGGGCTTTCTGTGATGCGGGGAGTGCTACGCCGGAACTGAGGGGAGGGCGGGGCAACAACATCATAATCATCGCCCTATTATTTCACCACGTATGACTCCCTCTGACATCAAGCCAACCCACAGTCGAGAATCTTCCTACCATAACCTACAGTGGTAATTGAAATAACTCGCCGCTTTGTTCAATGTTTACTTTTCATTTCTGACTACAATATTGTCATATCTTGGTTCTGTGCTTAGATTGACCAAGAATGCAATCTGATTGTAAAAGTACTGACTATTGCATGCCTTTAACCATGCTGCCACAGTACCGTGGTGTGTCCCTCGATACTCACGTCCTCAATCCGTCGCATCTCGTCTGGTGTCAGGCGCCAACCTAGAGCCTGCATGTCCTGCTCCGCTTGCTCACCACTCCGAATTCCCACCAGAGGAAGAACTCCCTTGTTGATGCTGAAATTCAATGCCACCGCGGCCACGGGGACACGCCTTTGTTCAGCAATTCGCTCGAGCACGTTCAGGGTTGGCTCAAGCATGTGCATGGGATAGCTACTGAAACGATAAGTTCGCGGAGGCTCATGGAATCGAGAGTACTTGTTCGACAGGCGACCCTCACCCAGAGATGCATATCCCTGAAAGACAATGCCCCTCTGGCGGCATTCACGGATCAATCCATGCACTTCTGGATGTCTTCTGATGACAGAGTACTCGCACTGGTTGACCGCTAGGGGGATGCCGTGCTTGTCGAGCTCATTGGCCATTTTGATCATATCGTCTTTGTCATAATTGGCAACGCCAACGGCCCGTGCCAACCCACTATTGACGCAGTTCGCAAGACCCTGCGCGACAGTCGATATCATGCTAAGGTGGGTTGGTCCATGGACAAGGTAGACATCCACATATTCAAGGCCAAGCCTCTGCAACGAGCTCCTGAGCTTGTTTTCGGGTCCATGCGATTGGAGAAACACGTTCGTCGGGTCAGGCCATGACATCCACTTTGTCTGTATGATGAATTCCTCCCGCCTCATATCCTTGAACAGTTGACCACATATACGCTCGCTTTCTCCGTCACCGTACGCAGGTGCCGTGTCAACAAAAGTCAACCCGACTTGTCGCAACTTCGTCCAAGCGGCTCGGATCCGCGGAAGGTCACGTTCTGCATCGTATTTCCACGTGGCTTTGTCGCCCCAGGACCAGGCGCCGATGCATATATATGGCACTAGAACGTCGTGGGCCCTTCCTCGCAGTGTGATTCGTGCCTGCGAGTCCGGTATGATCTCACTTGGCAACACATAAGACTCTTCGCTCATCTTGGGGTCAACGGGATTCGGGTGCGGCGAGTGCATTGGCCCTTCTGTAGCGGACATGCCGGATGCCAGCCCTGTCTGCAAAACATACTGACTTCCTGCGACTGACATCGCGCGCAATTAAGGGTATCAATATATAAACGTAATTGTATTCTTATGTGTGCTCGGACTTGGCTATGCACGGAGTAGGAAGCAAACATCATTTAACGGCACAAGATATCCAAGTACCCTTCGGCCAATTTATACACAAGCATTAGCCCCCTTCGTCATTGTGGTGGCCAGACATCTGAGAGTTCTCGGAGGACATGTCCGAGCTCGCCTCCGTCCACCCTGTATGGTACATTCGCCAGGCTGATGGCGAGGGCACCATAATTTGCAAATACTCATTAAAGTGCATGTCCGTGTCATAACAAAAGGAACGTTATCAGAGCAATGCAAAAATGTATCAAGCAAAAACCAAAGCAAAAAGAGTGCGCCAAACGGGATTCGAACTCGTGTCTCGGTCTTGCCCAGTAGGGGAATGGGAGGACCGCATCCTAACCACTAGACCATTGGCGCGCTGTTATGGTTAGTAAGGCAAACTTACCAATGATGACACATTCAGCGTGCAATTCTGGTAAGCTTTGGCAGTTAATATTTCTCTATCGTCGTATCTCTTTCTGTGTCGAAAATTCCTGATTGATGAACACAGACTGAAAGATTCATCCTGTTGGTTTGAAATTAATTGACTCTATGACAATCGCTTTTTTCAGATGTAGAGACAGGTGAGTGCAGAGAGATGAAGAGGGAAAAAAAGAAAAAATCTATTCCAGAAAACGCCATCGCTATGCTCTAAATATCCAACCCGATAGCTTATGCCTGAACTCTGGTCCAAAAATTGTGGGTCAACGCCAAAAAAAGACAAAAAAAAAGTCCATACATGCTTGTGATCACATCAGAACGAACGATATTCATGTTGTTACCTTAGAGCTCGATACAGCAGCCATTGCTGCTCCCTCAGCGGCCACAGGCTTTGAGTTCCCAACTGTACTCGTAGCATCGCGTTTAGATACTTCCTCATCGATAAAGCATCCTAAGCCTGCAAACGCCTCGAGCAGGGTACGAGAATAATATTCCCGTAAATCGTACCCACCTGTCTGCATACGGGTGTCCTGTCTGACTGGGTCGAGGTAAGCCGATGGGTAGTGATCGCGCAGGGTATAGTAGTCGCGCTTGTTGGGAACGAAACCGCCAAATGGATCGTAGGCCTTCTCGGGCTCCGGGGTCTTGATCTTCTTGAGACCCTTGATGAGACCTGTGTCTGCTGGACCGGCGCGGTCCGCAGTGGTGGCGGCCTGGCCGAGTTTCTTGAGCTCTGAACTGCGCAGGGCGGCCTGCTTCTGACGAATTCGGTCTTCCTCGCTACGTCGCGCAGATGATTTCTTGAGGAGGACTTTGTGGTTCTCGCGGGCAATGGTGGCGGCATCGCCTGGTTTTCCCGCTGCAAGCCGGGCAAGATAGTCTTCTCGGCCAGCGATAACTTCTCGTCGCTCGTTCTCGTATTCTTGCCTTGCTTCCTCCCGGCGGATACGTGCGAGCTCCTGTTCCTGTGTCTGTTGTTCTTGGAAAGATGATGCCTCATGGGCTTCGAGAGCGCGGTTGGCCCGAATGGAGTTCATGTTCTCTTGCGCGTATTTTTGGAGATCCGCCTCTGTCTTTGCTACATCTGTACCGTGGACGAGATTTGCAATAATTTCTTCACGCTGTTCAAGGAAATCGTCCCAGGCTCGTTTCGAGTCGAACTCCTCCTCGCGGCGATTGAGACTGGAGGTCGTTAGCGCAGCTCAGAGGACACGAACTCTGAGCACTGAAGAACCTACATCGACATCACTCGGCGCCGTATATCCACCTCCCTTTCCACTCCAATATCCTCAAAGGTCTGCTTTCTGAACCGATTCTTGCGTAAAGTCCTATGGCATCCCGCAACAGGGCAGTTGGCAGGGCCCGATGAGAAAATTCGATCCACACATGACTCGCACATCTTATGGTAGCATTCTGGGTTGATGAGGAATCGCATATCCGGGTTTAGGTAGCGGGATGATTTGCAAACGGGACAGACCTCTACACAGGGTCATTCAGCATTTAATCGTAGGTAGATCTGACAGCCATAAGGTAGTTACTTACCATCTTCATCCCCGCGATGAGCCAGGGCGTCGCGAGCAGGAGGCATGATTCACAATCAAAATGACAGACGAAACTAATCCACTCGATGAAATGTGAGAGTATTCAAAGAATGTGAGCAAGTTTCAAGAGCGGAGAAAGATGTTCATGTCGATGACGGCGGTAGCTGATAGTTGAAGAGCTGGAGGGACGGGCCAATCAGAAGCATGGTTCGCAGTTCCGCGCTGCGGAACTTCTTTTGCCTTCTTTGCCATCAAAATCTGAGCATACCTACAGCAAAATCTTCTGGCCAGACAATTTTCCGTGAGGTCGGATGCAATAAAACTCTATATGATGGTTTTTAACTATTTCTACAAGATATACATTTGAGAATCTCTACCATGGGCGTGCCAGACAGCCACCTACAAGACCTTGAGCGTCAGCGCCTTGAACTCGAAGGCAATATCTTGAAACTTCAGGAATCCTTGTATTATTGGCGCACATGGGAGGCCGAGTACGACGGATTGAAGGAGGAAATCAGCAATTTAGGCGACAATGCTACAACAAGCGATTTTCTCCGTATAGGCCGCAACTTCGGCGGGTCGCTGGTTAATGAAGACGAAGTCAAGGTGATTCTGGGCGAGAAACAAGGCGTGACACGATCGAGGCAACAAGTTATCGATTTGATATCGAGGCGGATCGACTATGTGAAAGAAAATGTCGCGACGGTGGAAAAGAGGCTGCGCAAAGCGGAATCTCAGCTTTATGCGCTGGAATCTGCCGAACAACTTCCCTCAGAACCTACTGCGGATTTTCCCATGACGGAGATCATGGAGGAACTCGACGAGAATGGCAATGTGATTTCCAGCTCCACTTCTACGCCCGGGAACCAGGCCCCGGAACTTCTAGAAATTCTGAAAAAGGCCGGTGTGAAGGACATTCCAGAGGTTCCGAAGCGGAAAGACACAGAAAATGCTGCACCACCTATCAGTGCTGAGGATGATCGGGCCGGGGCTGAAGAAATCCAGGCTGCTGGACTCGAGGATCACCAGGCCGAAAAGCAGGCTGAGAGCACCATAGCATCGAAATCGCTGGCGGAAACGCAAGAGGAGCAGCCTATCACTGATATCGATGAGCCCCCGGAAGACGCAGAACTGCGCCGTGAGATGCTACGATACAGCTTGGATGAAGTCGGAGCTGTCGTTGCCGAGCTCGAGCTAGACGAAGAAGCGGACGAAGTCTCCATTGACGAAGAATATGACTATGATGATGATGAGGAAGAGGAAGAAGACGAATTTGGAAGGACGCATCCTGTCCTGGACGAAGACTATCATCAGCAGATGCGGGAGCTAGAGAAGAAGTTGAATGCCAAGGGCATGTGGAACGTGGGCAAAGATACCAATTCCCTCCCAGAGGATATTCAGAAGGAACTTGAACGGCCTGCTGTTGTTCGCATCGAAAAATCCCAAGTGTCTGTTGATACGGCGGTGCAGGAGAACAAGCCGAAGAAAAAGGTTGCTTTCGCCGAAGAGCTGGATATTGCCCCCGCCCCCAAACCTGCTGTCGCCGAGAAGAAGACTCTTCCACCAAAGCAGCCTGAAGTGCCCACAATGGCGGAATCGATTGTTGAACGCACTCAGCAGATCGGGAGGACACCAGCGGCAAGCAGCAGTCCAAAGAAGGCCTCGCGCTTCAAGAGTGCCAGGAAAGCAACCGCGGAAGAGATTCCCGGCGTCGTTCCTTTGACCAACGGCATTCAAGCCTCAGATCCCCGCCCATCTCATCGCAAGCCCACTGCCCCGACACCAGATTCCATTCCTCTCTTCCCTGCCAAGCCGAGGCAACCCAAACCATTCTCACAACCAATCTCAGATATCATCGAAAAGCCACCGCAACCCGAAGGTCCGGAGGGGAAGATCCTCGCAGACACCCTTGTCGAGCGAACTATCTCAGAAGGAGCCGCCGTCGCTCCCGAGCCAGACGAGCTCGACGAGCAGCTGCACAGAAAGGAAATCGCGACGGAGTTCTACAGGATGCGAAACCGGAAGATCCAGCAGAACGGTGGGTTCGTGGACGACGAGCCCGAGATGGTTCCGATAGACACAGAGGAAGCCCCCAAGCGCGTGAGCAAGTTCAAAGCCGCGCGCATCATGCAATCATAGAAGTACCATGGTCATGAGATCATATACCCATTCTATCAACATTTTTCCTTTCTCTTTCTTGTGTAGAGATCTATTCCTGAGCGTAGTTTGGAATTCTCACTCTGCCACTTGCTCGTCCGGAGCTCTGGCGGAGTCATGATCATATCGGAACCAGTGGTATGGCCATCTCGAGAAGATTCCAAGATCGAAACATAAAGAGGGCTCTCTGACTGTATTTCGTCTCCGGCTCATCAGCTGCACGTATTGTGCTCAAGTAGAGTACTTACGGACGGTTGGTGGGTCGGAACATATGGAATCCGGTTACGTTTCACCCTCTACATGATTGTTCAGCCTTGCATCGCTAGTTTCACTTGGAGCTGGCTCTTTAGGTACATATGATCAGATTGGATTTCCAACGTTATTCTTCGCTTTATCGCTCGACTAGGACTATTGAACATACTGTATCTTCACTCCAAGAGTCCAACAAAGAGTTTCGGTATCAAGTCTTGAGTAGACTTATGCAGTCGTAACGTCATGAGGAAATTAAGAGGCCTTTTACAGCAACCGGAACTTTTTTGGCAGAAGTCATGACAGGATACGTAAAAAATTGTAGCATGAGCCCCAGCCCACAAACGCATTTCCCGCTCCTTGGACAATCAAAGAAGCATTGCCTCTCGTGGGGCTTGCCAGAGACATAATTTATGGATTCGCATGCTGAGGCTGACAATGACGATGTGGACACCGAGAGCAACAAATTGTGCCGGTAAACTCCGGGACCGCAGAACGAATCCCGCGAGTAGAAGCAAGGGGTAGAGAACCCAAGGATTGACAGCTAGGGGAGCACACGGCTGAAAGACTGAAACAACCTTTACGAAAAATAGAGACAGGGGCAGAAATGGCATAGTGGGCAATCGATGAGACGAGACTACTCCGAAGAGCCTTGCCAGAAAAGGACGAGTTGGCGGCGGAGGTAGCAAATGCTGTAGGGGACGAGTATCTCGGTTCTCATTTGTCTGTTCAGCACGGTCGATCTCATCCTGCGTAGGGGAAGGAGTAGGAGAAAACCTGGGTCGGATCATCAGCTCTCGCTCGGAGGTGAGAGAGTCTCTTTTCTCTGTTCCATTGCGGTTGGCAAAAGACGCCTCAAGAACGGTACTGTTGGATTCATAGTTAGGGCTGCGCCGTAGAGTGACCGGGCTTCCAGCGAGTGTATTTCTTGGAGAGACAGATCGGGCCACCGATGAAGCGTCGGGGCTATCGACTGAATGAATTCTAGAGTTGGTACGAGGGTCGGGGCTCGTGGAGCTAGACCTCCTGAAGCGGAAATGCTCATTCCCATTGACACCGGCTTGAATGCCGCTCAAGACTTCATCCGCAGTCGGCCGTCGGTCGGGATCCACAGATAAGAGACGCTTGAGGAAAATATAGAGCTTCTCAGGCAAGTCCGGCCGCAGCCTACGTTCGTCATCAAATCCGGTCCACTGGCTGATTTCTGCGCGAAGTTGATCAAGATCCTCTTTCTCCTCATGGATCAGATCAGCATTGCGGTAAGGAAGTTCGGCAAAGCATAGGAAATGAAGTATCATCCCCAAGGAGAAGATATCTGACTTGAACGTGAAATTGCCAAATGGTCCTCCAGGGAACTCTCGTCGTAGGACTTCCGGTGCACAATATGAAAGAGTTCCGGTTGCCCCAGTCGACAATCGGGTGGTATCCTGAGCCTGGACCTCGCCGAAGTCACTGACCAACACCCGTAAACCATCGCTCGTTTCATGAAGTAAACAGTTATTAGGTTTGAGATCCCGGTGTATATAACCATTCACATGTAAGTGCCGGAGGCCGGACGTGATGTCCTTGAAGAACGAATAGATCTCCTCGAAATTCAGCTTGCGAGGTCCGCCAAGGTCGATCTTAGGTTCCGGCTCTCCCTTGGATTTTCTCCGCAGACGCTCCTTTAATTGATGTGGCGTCGTTGTATCTTGCACAGAGCCACAAATATAGTTGTGTAGATCTCCGGCGTTGCAGTATTGTTGTAGGATGAACGCACACGGTACACTCGGCCCAAAGGTGCTGATTTTGGAATTCTCAAGCCATACGTGCCGATAGGATACGAGATTCTGATGCGACAAATGTTGCAACAATTGGACCTCGCCCAGGACCTTTTCCAACCATTCGTGATCGTCACCGACCGGAACACGTTTGCAAGCATAGTGTCCCAACGAAACCCCATCTAGCACATGCTTTACCAGAAGCACCACACCTTTTCCCCCTTTCCCTAAAATTCTCTCTTCAACGAAGAATTTTTTGAAGTAATCCTGGGTAAATGCGGCGGAGGATATCCCCTGAGTTCCACTTATGGAAGGAGCTGGCTCGCTCGTGGGCCTATCGGCGAGAGCAGGTTGGACCAAACGCCGAAGCGGAGAAGGGGGTGTTGATGAGTCCGCGGAGCTAGGCAAGCTATTATGAAGCATGCGGAAGTAGTCCGGGTTGACAAATTCCGGCTGGGCTAGAGAACTAGCATGATGCCCTTCTTGACCTGCATTGCTTTCACGAAGCGGTCGATGGCAATAGGGACAGTCGGTCAAGTCAAGGCCCGCATGGCCGTCAGAGGCGCTCCGCAGTACCAGCTGTCGGGAGTCTCGATCGAAGACGACGACTGAATCGTTGTGACGCCTGCGATATTGAAACCATTAGATTCACCTGGCTCGAGCACAGATTCTGTATAGTAGAGCCCTTACAGCACAACGTCAAAGTTAGAAGATCCGTAGGGAACAATAGACATGCCCTCTTCCGCCATTATCGGGGGAACGGTCGCACATCTCTCTAGGAACCAGAGACATGAAGAGTTATAGTTGTAGTCATGGACGCTAGTTTCACAGAAGACAACATACAGCCGACTTTGCTGTCTTGAGAACCATATGATGCAAACTGCAAGGGCTAGTGGTATTGGGTGAGGGGGAAAGTGAGGCTAGAGTGCCCCACACAAGCTGCAGGCGGTGAGGCAAACACTACTAGGTTGATTAGGTACCGCCCAACCGCCCATCTGGCTTCTACAGTCTCTACAAAGGTACAACAAACTGAAGGAGTTGATGTGATATGTTAACTTCGTTTTTAATATGGTGTGGGTATCAATAATATAAGACCGCGATGCATTGAGCATCTATTCAGTGACCGTTGCGTTGTCACGATGGATTAACTGAAAGAAGTGTTGGCGAGTGTCACGCCCAATTCATGTCGTGGAAATCCGCGACTGGGCTGAGTACACGCGTCCAAGGCCTCGACTACATCAGACCGTACACTCGGATCCTGATGGAATGCGTGTGCCGGAACACAGACTCTGAAACGCAACCCGAAGGTGAATTAGGAGCCTACCGGGCTATGCGCCGTTGGTCTGAACAGCGATCGGCGAGGAGCCACAAGCGTAATGATGCAGCCTGTGGCAATGTAGTTGTACAAGCATTAGCTCGCATGGAGTGAATTATTGAAGGAGAGAGTCCGTTCACTCCTCCCCGCTTTCTTCATCGCTGATTTCAAGGTTCGCAATTGAGTCATCATCATCGTCACTTTCGTCGAAGCCTTCGAATTCCTCATCTTCGGACTCGGCGCCCTCCTTGTTAGAGGCATTCTCGGTGGTTCCCGCAGGCTCCGAGTTTGTCTCGTCAAGCTTTCTCTTTCGACCCATCTCCCCAAGCCGACCTTCGCGACCTTCGATCTTTGCATTGTCGCCACCGGCTGACTTGGGAGGTGGGGTGAACCACGGTATCTTGCCTCGAAGGAAATCGTTGATGACCATCTTAGCGACACCATCCAAATCAGGCTCGCCTCCACGGAGGAGTCTACCGCCCTTGCGGGCGAGAATACTAAGGAATTCGATTGGATCTCCAGTGCTCTTGATGCCATAGGTGCGTTCAAGGTGCTTAGGTTGAACCTTTGCCAGAACAGCAGGGATATACTGTTCAGGGTTGTGAACATTCTCGATTCGAACGACGCCACGAAGGAGAATATCTTGCTCCGTGTCGTTCTGGTTTGCTGGGACCACACCAGGGCAGTCGATGAGATAGATTCTCTTCATCAAAGTCACGTACTGCCAAACTTTGGTCTCTCCGGGGATAGGAGCCACGGTGCAAACTTTCTTTTTCCGCAGAGTGTTGATGATGGATGATTTCCCGGTGTTAGGATAACCAATCAATCCCACAGAGATCTGCTTCCGATCCGAGTGCAAAGAGGAGAATTGTCTCAGAAGCTGAATCAAGGAACCTTTACCAAAGGAGTTGTTGATCGAAGCGTGGAACGCCAGCGTGGGGTAGTCCTTAGAGAGATGCCGTACCCAAGATGCCTGGTAGAAGAGTTAGCGACCCCTACCAGCGTTTCGCGAATAAAACAGATGAAATTTGAGATCAGAGAATAGCGAGATGTGTGAAATGTTACTAAGAGGACTGCTACAAAGCCGCCAACGAGGCAGAAGCAGCACTCAACTCACAAACAGAACACTGCTCAGCCCTTTACGACCAGTTTTCAAAACGAAAACTGGTCAGCCTAGCTTCAGAATGAAATTCGGCACGGGCCAGCGTCAATCTGCCAGAGCTGTAACAGACAAACTTCCATGGAGAAAAACACGACACAAAGTCGCAGGAAGAAGACTTGACTTAGCAATGGCATATAGGCTTCTCAAAGAGCATGAAGATGCAATGTGATGATCTGATTGGACAACAACTTCGAGGGTAGGAATGAATGAACAGAGAATTTACTTACTGCCACGTTCGTGGGAACCAGATCACACTTGTTAAGCACAAAGATCAAGTGCTTATGGGGAGCTTCCTCACGAATATACTTCTCAACGCTTCGGCAACGTGTGCCTTCGGGATCACGAGCGTCAAGCACGTGAATGACAACATCTGAAGAATCGATGACCTTGTACAGCTCGTTCCAAATTCGCTTGCTCTGTCCTTTGGAGAAGACGGACTCTCGAGCAGTGGGTGCTTCACTGAAAGTCTTGTCATCGGTCGACACATCGCCGGAAGCGATGATTGTTCCATCTTCGTGAGTGTCTTGATCCGTCTTTTCAACGTAGGCGTCATGCATCTTGACTGTCTCTCCAGCCAGGTCTTCCAGAGACGCAACACCCAGCTTGACACGTTTTCTTTGAGCCTTAGGACCAAATGTATCACTGAAAGGGGCAGTCTCAATGGCCATCTTCGCTTCATGCTGCTTCAGTCCATTCACAGTGTGAACATTGTCTCTGATTAAGCTCATGGGAAGCTTGTTGGTCTTGAGGAGAACCGAGTACGGGTCCGAGGCACGTTCAGCGACTGCCTCGCGGAAGGATGTTAAAGCCTCCTGAGAAATCACTCTCGTGTTACCGAACCATTTGCGGTTGGGTTCAATCCGAGCCGTGGGTGCGTCTCGTGACTGGTACGAGGCGGCGACGGTGATGTTTCCAGCAGCGTCTCGTCGAGGCTTGCCATCCTTGAACATGTTCAGATGCTTGACCTTCTTCGCATCTCTTCCATTAAGTCAGCAAAACATATTTTTTTCATGCTGAATAAAGCACATAAAGCATACCTGTAGAAGTTTTCACCCTTCGTTCTGACATTGGCCATACCATCTCCAACCTTCCCCTGGCGTACCTTACGGTTCGCCTCCTTCTTTCCTGTACCCATGATGAAAGCTACTCCTTGATAAGGCCTTCAGAAAAGATTTCAAAAAGTCCCAAAGGCAGGGGTAGAAAAATAAGAGTTGGCAAAGCGCAAGAGAAGGAAGAGAAGGGGAAAGGAAAATTTCAGAGAGATTATTTTTTTTTCCTGGCGTGGGTGCCAAGCTCTGTGGTGCACGGACCAAGTGCAAGAAAATCCGCTTCATCTTTCCCGACTTCTATGACAATGAGACCGCCGTCTTCGATCGTTCATTGTTTGCTACGTTCTTGTCTGGCCACTTGCGAAAATTTGAGATTGCTCGCTCCTCAATCTCCGGTGGCCCTTTTTTCTATTCAACAGAGACTTGCCGCTTGCTTGGGGGCGTAGGCGAACGGCATCAGTCCACCATGTCACTCTTCCGCAACTGCAGGGCTGCCACGGCGCAAGCCCGTAGCTTCTCCTCTTCCTCCTGCCGTCGAGTCGGACCAGAGTCTCCAAATTTCGTTGACGTCCCTCAAACAATTCAGCCGGATCTACGAGTGAAACCCCGAGTCAAGGGTACGCTGCCCGTTCCTCGAGAGCTCTTCCCTGCCCGCCGAGTAGACAAGCCGACCGAGGAATACATTGCTGCTGCGACACCACTCCCCTTGAAGGAGACTAAAATCGACCCCAATGACCCACACGCTGAATACAAGGATTGGAAGCGGCGAATGGCCGACATGAGGCGGCAGAATCTTCGCGAAGGTCTCCTTGAGTTGCACAGCCGCAAGCAGCGGACTGACAAGTTCATGGCGTACCGCAGCATTCAGAGACAAAGAAAACGCGAACAAGTTCTTCGGCAGCCGGAAAGAGACGACGAGCGCTTGACTCGTCCCTCTGTTGTGCAGGAGATGCTGCCTAAACATACCCCGGTGCTGCCTGATCCTGACAGAGAAGAGCGCCTTGCTCAGTCTCGTGCAAAGTTAGAGAGCAAGAAGGCTCGGGATGAGTTCGAACGTCAGGATTCATTACAAGCGCTTTACATGAATGCTCGTACCTTTATCACCACCGAGGCTCAACTTGCCGCCGAGATCGAGAAGGTGTTCCCCGAGGGCGAGAACGAAGCGTGGCGCAGTGACCACCAGCAGGGTGAGAATATTTGGAACCTTGGTGTGCCTCCGACAGTGCAAAACATTGTCAACGATTCGAAGAAGAGCGAAGCAGCTCGCTGGGATCTTATCCAGGGCAGAGTCAAGAAGCTGGGAGAGCAGATTACTGGAGGCAAGATATAAAGCGGCTGTTACTGAGGTTTTGTACAGTATGGGTTACTCGAAGAATTATAACAGCAGTTGTTTGTATTATTATCACCTCGTTTCTATTGATTCTAAAACAATGTCTATATCATGTGTTTCGCTCACACCCGACAGCGGCGTGCCGTTGCCCCCTTTAATCCGGTGTATTGTGATAACGAGGATTCGGACAGTTGGTTTCTCAATCATTGCGGATGGCTCACTGTGTCTGTCACCTTTGAATCCGCAGCACAGGCCAATGCTGATCTAAAGTTTGAGTACCTACCGTTGCTTATCCCATGGAGAGATACTTGAGAGGCAGAAAATTCCAACGTCAACTCCAATGCTAATGAGGGCTTGCTATATCCTACACCTCACAGTGACGCATAGCCAACATACACATGACCAGAACAGAACACTATATGGGTGTTTTGACGGCTTCAAAGATAAAGAGATGTAAGTGATGCAAGGCTTACATCGATTCGAGGGATCAGCATTACCCAACTACATCAGTCCATCTATGTTCCACACTAACGGGGCATTGCGGGAAGATCAGGGCCATCTTGTTCGCTCATGCTGGAGAATGACACTTGAACTGACGCTTTGTCGGTGGATCCATGCGTTTTGAGATGAATTCTTTGAGGTCAAGGCTTGGCCTTCTGTCAAGACATTGGGGCTTCACATGCTCAGTATCATGGTTACAGTTGTGTCAGGTGTTAGATCATAAACGTAGTATCCCTCCGAGCAGGTGCTGCTCAAGTCAAGCGGCCTTGTAGTTCGCTTAGCGACAGCGAAGAGGGAACATAATACAGAATGGTAGTATTGGCAGCCACAACTAGATGATCGTCTTGATCTAAGTGTCAAACACAATTCCAAAATGGAAAGATGATTCCACCCTAGGTAGCATTTTTATGACCAATGAGCACTGATTGACCAATCTGAGGCTGTCTGCTGCATTATCGGAACACTAGAGAGGTGTCTGAACGCACTGTGGCTGTACTCGTACCAGGAGTACTGTGTATGTTGGTGCCTGGCCGATGCTATGTTGTTGCTGTTACCTCGGTTACTTGACTCTGCGTTGTCTTGCCTGAAAGAAACCAATTTGCAGAGCAATAATTAATGAAATAGAACCTTGATCCAATGACGTGGTTAACATATAGATCGGCATGATGAAAGATGAGGTGTCTTATACCCATTGGAGTACCAAGACTAATATTATTTTATAAATCTCATGAATACACAGATTTTAAAAATTGAATACCCCACAGTGAAAAGGCCGTGGAAAGCCAACAAGCAGCGTTCTTGGCTGCCAGTGGTGTCGTCACTTACCCACTGTATCCTCGCCAGGAACCTCCATCTCGTCCCACTTAAGGCTTGCTTACTTGTTCTCGCTCTTGTGTACGTCTCTAAACTTGTATAATTTCCCACATCAAGTCCCTTTCCTTGGTTCAAAATCCACGCTCCAGGCTACAATAGTGTTGGTGACCACGCCCAGGAACGTAGATGATAAGACCCTGGTCCGTGAGGCACAAGCCATGCCCCGTTGCGAAACCGACTAAGCAACAACAGGATAAGGCAGCCCAGGCTGCCCCATTTTGCGCTCAAGTTATGGAAGCTTAAGTCAACCCAACCAATCTCTCATGACGTTAACTAGATGCAAGGTACCTTAGAATGATCTCCACTCTCTGCTCAGCTCCACTGCTCCTTTCGGTTTTCTTCCTCTGTATGTAAGGCCTTGTATTTGGAATACATCGCTAATGGTGTGGAAAACGCAGTAGTGCTCAGCTATGTTCAATGCATCACAGACCAGCCATCCTAGCTAATAGGGGACCATGAATAGAAGGAACGAACCATGGGAGCTCAATGCTCTCGTCCTTGAAATCTCATCCAGCTACAGTTGCTGTCTTTGGCCAAACCAATTTCCGACTGTGCCAGTTCCGTGGATCAAATCTGCTATCGCCACCTCGGTTGCAGGCTCATGCCCTGAGGATGAACCATGTATCAAGCAGGGGCGCTGACACATGGGCAGGCTCTCTACGGCCAATCCAAGAACCTTTCAGATGGGTCCTGATCCACCTGCAGGCTTACGCTTTGCAACAATGTTACTTGATATGGCCGCCGTTGTTGCCCGTGCTGCACTAGGATCGTAGGTGGGCCATGCTATCTCAATGCTATTCACCATCTCCCCACATTGCCTTGTCCACCATGACGTCCTACGCCGCTGAAATCCGATTACCTCCAGGCTCGCCGGTAGGTCCGTCCAATATCGAGTTTGTTTAGAGAGGTACTCGCTCTGGCGTGTGTATGATACCAGACTGGTCGACATTGGTCCACCTGCATTACATAGGAATGCATTGCTACTGGCCAACGCTTGGTTTCTATTTTTTGCTTTCCATGAGAAAGTATGAGCTGTTGATGACCTACCTTGATCTGGGTTCCAGTGACATCCATGACGCTGATATGAAGGGTACCCACCACGGTTTATAAGTAAAGTGTACTTCTCGTCCTCATCAGTGTTTGTTGTAGTCCTCAAACAGACAAAGATAAACAACCTAGGTCTTAGTCGTGCCGATTCAGACCAACCAGACCTTTTTTCCATTCGCTTCACCTTTTGTGCTGCCTTGACTCCTTACATTCACTCACAGAATGAAGAACTTTGCCACTCTCGCGGCTCTCGCTGTCGGAGCTAATGCTCTCGTCACCAGGGACAACACCTGCTGCTTCCATCTGACCGCTTCGGGTGGTGCTTCTGGCCCTATTGGCCAGCTTGATGATGGGCAGAACCGTGTCTTCGGCAATCTTCCTGAGGGCGAGTACTGCATCAACTCCGATGGCGGTATCATTGATGGTCACGGACGTGGTTGCATCTTGACCCGTGAGTATCTGGATTCAGTTCTGACAAATTGACAACGTCTTAACAAACATCGATAGCTCCCACCACCCAGTTCCAGTGTGATGCTGGAGCCCAGCCCACCACTGGCTTCTCCGTCAACTCCCAGGGCTTGCTCACCTACAACGGAAAGACAGACTTTGTCGCCTGTGAGACTGGTCAGAATGGAGGACTGAACGTCTACACATCTCCCAATAGCAATGATGTGACTGGCTGCAAGAACATTCAGCTGCATGCCGACAACTGCGCCAACACTGGTACCGGCGCCGGTGCCAGTTCTTCCGCTGTCTACAGTTCGGTCGTTTCTGTCACTCCAACAAGTTCCGCAGTGCAGCAGAGCACCCCTGCTACCTCTCCTGCTCCTGAGTCGAGCGCTCCCGGATCTACCACCACTGTCAAGACAACCATGACCACGACCACTTGCCCTGAGACTACCACCCCAGCTGGCTCCGGTTCTCAACCCTCTACTCCCGCTGGCTCTGGATCTCAGCCTTCTCATTCTGCCTCTGCCACCCAGTCTTCCAGCCGCAGCTGCCCGACCGATCTTTCTGGACAGTACGAATACCCCCACCTGATCATCCCCGTCGACTCCTCGTCTCCCAGCAAGGCTCCTGGCACCTCGTTCAACGGCACAGTCTCTTCCACCGTCTCGAGCATCTTCAACTTTGACATTCCTTCCTCGGACGCCGGCAAGACCTGTAGTCTCGTTTTCTTGTTCCCCAAGAAGGAGGACCTCGAGACCTCTTCTTACTCCTTCAGCGGAGACGGCAAGATTGATTTCGCCATGCTGGAGTCTGCCGCTACTTCCCAGACCTCCTACAGCAATGCTCCCAAGGTCAAGCAAGACTACGGCGTTACCACCGTCGCCCCTGGCAACTCTTACCAGATTTCTACCTTCCAGTGCCCGGCTGGACAGGCAGTCGGCTTCGAGATGAAAAACGCTGGTAGCACCAACCTCAACTTCTTTGAGGACTACAACCCCTCCCCGTAAGTTTTCTCTGCGCGTCTCAGCACCTGAATTGTGGCTAACCGACATCCAGTCTTGGTCTGTACATCACTGTCTGCTAAGTCAATCGGCTTGGCAAAGGACTGCCCGACATTATGAGAACATGAATGATGGACCTATGGTAATATCTTTTGAAATTATGGCTTTTATTGATGAAACAAGAAACTTCCTTTCAAACCCAAATTGATTCAATGTCGGGTATGGTCGAGATTGCAGAGAGCAGAAAGCATAGTGAGTCTTTCGAGTGGGTCTAGTGAGGTAATTATGAACAGTCATTCATTAGGTACATAAAAATTTCGCTTGCATTGTACATTACAACTAAGTCTTCTTGAAGTCGATGATGATTTCCTTCAAAAAAGTGAGGCGTAGGATTCTGGCAATAGCCAGCCAACAAGGATATATACGGTCAAGCATTCCGAACTGGACATTATGTTTGCTTAGCTTTGGAAATCCTAAATAGAATTTCCCTAGATTAAACTGGCGAAACAGAACTGCAAGCTACAAAGTTATATATTTCAAGGAGGAATAATCTCTAGTTCTGAGAGATATCCAAGGTGGCACTCACAGTAACAAAATAATGTTGCCTAGATCCAGCCGCTGTCGTGTGCCTCAGGTTGCCAATTAAAGTTACTGGACGGTCCCGCCCCATGCAGAATGGGTGAGCGCCACGGAAGCACTGAACTTAGCATTTGACTTAACAGGACATGCTTGATTGTTTCAAGTGATTCTAGATCACGAATTAACATCTCTGTAAGAAATAACAACACTAGAGAAATCAAAATCAGAAAGACACAGGTTGAACACGTGCCGTGGCTTAGAATTAGAGTTTAACCCCTTAGACTTGGTACCTAGCTAGGTAAGAACTCGTTTGATTCATCTCAGTTGTCTACGCCAGGCCAGGGTCCCGTTGTGGATCCTGAGTGACAGCCTCAGCGCCTCTCATTGAGTGCACTGGGATTCTAATTGTCAGGGCAAAGCCTGAATGGCTACGATCCACGCCACAGGACACACTTTCAAGTCTTAGCCGTCCAGCTGAAAGCAGTTTTTTCCCCATTATCGGCTTAGTTCAGGACTTTGTTCTCCATGTTTGGATTATTTTAGGCAGCT